GGAAGAGAAATCGATAAGATCGATGAAGTATATGTTTCTCTTGAATCCACTGATGATCATTCGAGTTGCACCTCTTCGTTTTGGTGGTTTCCATAGTTCCTTGATCTCATTCATGCTCCACACACACCTCGACAAATGAATCGCTTTATTCAAGGAATGAATAAGTTGTGTCAGAGGAAGAATCACAAACTGGTTATAGACTCGAAATGCCTTTTCTCCACTATACACTATTTCAAATAGAGCATCACTCGCATTCAACATTGCAATGATCGTAACGATATCATATGCACCTCGTGAAATCGATAGAGTATGGAGACTGGATCCAAATACACTCATAACTTGTAGCCATTGTGGAAATTGAAAATGTAGTATTAATCATGGTGTTCGGAATGGCAATGATTTCAGTCAGTATATAATAACCAGGCGAGATCGTTACCTCTTCACCATGGGTGTTTGTCACCACATTGATTGAGTCCACAATATTGAACATGACTTGATTGGGTTTGAATAGCACAGTCATGGAAGTGATAAATGGATTTCTGAACTTGTAAGGATTGATTGAATCGAATAAACCATTGATAGGTGAATCTTGTATGAGAATGGAATAATACATGTTCTTTCTTTACCAAAGACACTCATGACTTGCACCGATAGCAAGCGTTGGATCTTGGACGACAACGTGCATACACTGGCGTTCGGTCATTACCGAATTGAAGTAAGGTAAGCAATCTTTCACTTTGGACAGCTGGGCCGAAAAAGGCAGCCAAGGTCGCGCGAGTGATGCGTGGGCATAAAGGTAGCCAGAGAGATAATGACCGAAAATGGACAGCAAAGATGTCGCTCATTAGCCCCTTTTCTCTTGAAAGGCAAAAAATACAAGTGGCAAAATCACCCCCAGACCCCGACTTTAGGGGCTTCGCGCGTTTTTGAATTTTCTGAAGATAGAGTCCGAGCGGCATCTTCGGTTTTCGCGCTCTCGTAGATGGGGTCGGAAAGGCAACTTTGACCGAAAAAAAGCAGCCAAGGTTGCGCGCGTGTTTTGCGTCATTTCCCTACTACTAATGCAGTTTTAGTTTGACAATCTTACCAAATTGTATCGATCCGCATATACCACATTCCATTCAATACCCTTTTTGTAGGAATAGAAAGGTCATTCTCGTTAATCACCAATAGCTGTGTAATCTTTACAAAAATAGTCATATACTACAAATCAATCCATAGAGTGATAGTAAATAGTTGAAATATGTACAATTTGCGTAGAATAATGATGTAAGGATTATACTGGAATCAAATAGAGAAGATTCGTTTTTTCATGGTTTTGGCCATTTTGTCATTATTGATGGAAATATCTACGGATTCTGGAATTCAATCAAGTTGTATTATCGAAATAAAACCATTAAACGTGTCTCATGACCTGGGAAAGGAATCTGGGTTTGAGGTTGATATTTGGAATTGGTGTATTACCAATCAATTTCCCATTAGTACTATAGATAAGACTGATAGTGAGAATGTGATTCTGAATATTGGTTCTCCACATCAAGGTTACACTATTCAAACGAAGATGAAAGATGGAAAATTGAACGGGAAAGCTGTTATCAAAACAATGAACAATACGATAATAGCAGAATTCGAATATCGAAGTAATGAGATAAAAGGACAATGTAAATTGTATTATGATTCAGGCGAATTATATTTTGAAGGGAATCTTGAAGATGGATATCGTCAAGGATTTGGAAAAGAGTATGATAAGAATGGGAATGTGATATTTGAAGGTAGGTATGAAAAAGGATGTCGAGGCAATCATTGTGAAAGAATGGATGGAATGAAAGGTTATTGGAAAGAATTGGATGGGAATGGAAATGTGATTTCGATTTGTCAAAAGAATGAAAAAGGAATGAATGAAGGATTGTGCTACTATTTTGAATCAGGATCACTTCAACGAGTCAGTATTTGGGAAAACAATGAAGAAATATCGATTTTATATCGATTTGAAAATGATGAAATGATAGAATACAAAAATGGTGTAAAGTGTTTTGAAGGATATTATTATGGTTCAATAGAGATAGGGTTTTATCGGATATATGGGAAGGAATATGACGAAGAAGGCCAAAATGTGATTTATGAAGGTGATTATAAGAATAGGAAACGGTATGGACAAGGAACATCATATAAAATCAACAATGAAATAGAATATAAAGGAGAATGGGTGAAAGGAATACCAAAATCAAAGTATATACTGTTATTTGCAGTGATTCCAGTAATATTCGGGCTATGTATTGTTGTATTGGCATTCATTTTACCAATACCAACATTCTTGCAGTGGTTAATAATGTTAGCAGTAATCATTTGTGGATTAATATTCCTTGATTATATGCTTAAGAGCCTAAATCAAGCGAACTTAGTAACAATAGATTTTGAACCTAAAGTGTTGAGTATGAAGCCTAAATATGAAGAGAAACTTGTTATTTTTGAAGATGAATGTTATTCTGAAGTGAAAATATTCAAAATTGATGGATTGGATCGATTGAAAACTATCAAAATCGGAAGCAATTCATTTACTCAGAAAAAGAATGATTGGAGAAATGATGAATCAAAATCATTCCACATATTGAATTGTGAATCATTGAAATCCATTCAAATTGGTCAATATAGTTTCAGTGATTTTGCTGGAGATTTTGAATTGAAGAATCTACCACAATTACGATCCATTCAAATTGGTACAATTGGCAGTAAATCTTGCAATTTCTATGGTAGTTCATTTGTGATTCGAGGTATTGATATGATATTGAATAGTTGAATGATGCATAGATCTTCCAAATCTACAATCCATTACATTAGGTTATGCTGCATTCAATAGATCCTTTTCAACAATAATTGAAAGTATTGAATGAATTTAAATGAAATGATTGATGTAGATCTTCCATCATTACAATCCATTCAACTTGGTTGGCGTGCACTTGAAGGAAGAAATAATGAATCAAGTTCCTTGACACTTCGAAGTAATAATGAATGGATTGTAAATGATATGCTTTGTAGATCTTCCAAATCTAAAATCAATAACTTCTGTTTATTGGAGTTTCTTTTATCCTTGTGTAGTGACATTGGAAAGTATTTCTGAATATTGATATTGATAGTATTTAGATATTCCAAATCTTCGAAATGTCAATCTACTTGGTTCTTTCCTACATGTTCGATCGAAATCAATTTCGAGTATAGTTTGATTGATCTGATTTGATTCATAGATGTTTCTTCCATTCTCGCTAATCTTGTCGAAATCAAGCATTAAATCTATAATATTGATTTGATTTGATTTGTTCAGTGATTCGTCATTGTTTAGGAACATTTCCATTGATTGATTGTTTGATTATTTGTTTGTTTCAAACCGATTCTGGATCACAATTCATGATTCTATAATTATCAAAATATCAATCAATCCTGCCTGATTATTATGATGTTCTTCTTTACCATTTTAACAATGATACTGAATTATGATTGTTGCGTCAATTCATATTTTCTTTGATCCATTTTACCATATATGACCCAACTTTCACACATTGGACCTGTGCAAACTAGTCCAATTTACCTTATACAAATCAAATGATGGTCTAAGTAGTAGATTCGCCTTATTGTAGTCATCAATACTCATATCACTGTTTTATGTGATTCCTAACTTTGTAGTTTTAGGAAAACAACAAGTTGTTATTACTCAATACGATACCATATGGGAGTGTAGCAGTTACTCTATGCCAGCTGTTAATAAGATCACGTTATTGCTTTTTGAATGAACAATTTGTTTTTCCCAGTTATCTTGTGATTATTATTTGTGCACTACGAATACCTAAATCATATTTTAGTGATAATGATACCGTTATTTGTTTCAAATGAGGTTAAAACCCCATTGTATCCAATTATGAATTGTGTTTTCATTCAGAAATCAAAATGATATTTGATTTCACTTAAACGTAAAACATGATTTTGATCATAACGATGAGTTATGACACTTTTATGCAGTTTATTTTTCTTTATTCCTTTCATTTTTACAAATTACGAATAGTCATATTATTCGCACGATTATGTTACATATAAAATATAACCTCTTCACCTTTCTCTTCATTTTACACACAAATGCTTATTTATTACTCTTTTGATATGTGACAATTATCTACTCTAAACACCGTATAGACTCTATGTCACATTTATAATAAATAGTACAATATTATTTCTTATTATGTGAATTCAGCACTAGAACCTAAATCACTATTTTGATATGAATCATCTTATCTATTAATAACTCTAGGAACAGCAAGACCATATCATTTTATGGTTTTTCATCTTGTGTTTTGCAGTACCCTCATATATATATATATATATATATATATTGGAACTGATATCATTTGACTGTTTTGAGTAGAACCTTGTATAAATGGTACAATGGCAGGTGTGCACGGTAATCAATGCTTTTCGCATGTTACAAAAATGAAATACCAAGACTTAAATTTCGGTTCGTTATGAGACCACGAAACAGCTTGAACGGGCATGTTTTTCAATTGTTGAAATCATTTCTCTTTTTACAAACAATGATTAAACCTTTACAGCCTTCTTCGTACTCTCCTTCTTGGACAGACTCTTCTTTGACGGTGTGGCTCTCGCACTCTTTCCCTTCACGCCACCCACAGCCTTCGCTCTTCCAGTCACACGAACCAAAACGAAGGCAACAATAGCAATATTGATAATCGCAATGATCACCAAAATGATGATCATCACAATAGGCATACAATATCCAGAAACCGGACCCCATTCTCCGTCGTTTTTACCAAGGTTACAAGCTCTCCTCTCAGTACCCACGTAGGCTCCGCCCAGAGCGCAATCGTATTCAAAGATTTTTCCAACCTCAGTGGTATCGAAATGTCCCACCGCCTTGCATGTTCCCTTCTTCACAGAAATGGAAATCTCAGTAAGAGCCGAACCAACCTGGTTCTTTCCATAGATCGTGAAGGTTCTCACAAAACTTCCTCCGTGGGAATTCCAGTAATTTCTCCGGTCTTGGCGTTCAGCTCCAATCCAGTGGGCAGGAAGGTGTTCTCAGCCAAATAAAACTCTTCAATGATGTTTTCATATTTGGGAGCATCGATATGGGCTTCAACATCCTTAATAAGGTCGAATCTCCCCGATTTGTAAAGCATTTTTGCGGGAATCTTCTGCACGCAGTACTTGTTGTTGATCTCACCCAGCTGACCATTTGAGCAAGTACGGTACGAATATCCACGATATCCCTCCTCGCAACTAGCAGGCGAGATTTCTCCCTCTCCCACAGAAGGATAGTCGCCGATTCCAGGACACACTCCAGTTCCGCTAGGCTTGCAGTACTGAAGCATAATCGAGCTGAAAGACACCACACCATTAGCAGGCACATCCACTTCATACTTGAGCTGCTTGAATCCAGCAATTCCAACAGGCACACCCCAAGCAATTCGTCTCAAAGCCTGCGTGGACTGACCCGTAACAGCCAACGAGGAAATATACTCCTCCTCGCTGGACATACGGACATAGAGAGAGAATCCAAAACCAGTACGAGAATACACGGTCTGCATGGCGAAGCTGTTGAATTTGGTTTCCTCCAGGTTCTCTGCCTCCCAGTCAATATAAGTTCCCTGAGTGTTCGCCTGACTTCCGTAGGTCGTGGGATTCAGATCGAACAAGTTTTCGATTTCAGTGTTAGAGACGGGCGATCCAGTAATAACCGAGTATGTATCCACAAGAATCGAACACTCGTTCACTCCGAACACACCCGTAGCATCGAACACGATCTTATTCGAAGAGGACTGGCCGAGAGGACGATGGATTTCGAATGCCATCATGTTCTTTCCATTCGTTCCACCAACCGTAGTCATGATCACATGGAACTTGGAAGGCGTGTCCACATCATGGACAGCAAGCGACTGCGATTCCTCGTTGAAGTTCTTTTCCAAATTGAAGCGAGCCACCTTGCGGCCATTGAAATAGGCAACAATACCTCCAGCATACTTGACCTGAACATTCAATACAGAATAGCTGTTGATGTCAGGAATATCGACTTGATGACGCACATAGGTAGTGACTCTGGCATTCGTCGTAAACTCGCTGGTCTTCTTTGACTGCCAAGCAGAATCATCAAAGTCAAGAGAGGGCCAATTCTCGACAGTATCAAAGCTGATCTTCCATTCAGAATAATCGAACTGGAACGGGAGGTAAGAAGAAAACATCGTGCTAATAGAGGGCGTGTCATCGGGCATCTGTCCCATTTCGAAGATCATTGTACCCATATCCACAGTCAGATAGTATCCAGCAGGATTGGTCCAACCATCACTGAGGGAATCAAACAACTGCAAGGTGTAAATATTATCCGCCAAGCAAGAATCCACATAGTTCAGACCGGAGGCTATGATGAATACTGTATTAAATGAAATAAGGGTTCCGCTCGTGCCAGCTCCCTGGAACAGCTTGTAAGAAGCCTCGTAAGGCCAGCTATCAGTGCGTACCACCAAAGTAATCAAAGACTTTCCTCCCGTGCAAATCAGGACAGTAAGAGAGAAGGAAGCAGTGGAAGTGCCTCCAGTCAGCTTGTTGGCAGTGATCGAGTAAGAGGTGGTCGTCATCTCAGCAGTGGCAGTTCCAGAAATCATACCAGTACTAGGATTTAGAACAACTCCAGCAGGAAGAGCAGGAGTGATCTGGAAGTTGTAGTAATAAGCAGAGTTCGGATAGACTTCTCCCATTTCAATATCCTTGTAGATGGTAGTAGCAGCATACGAAAGATCAGGAACGGTCATTGTGGTGTATACCGAGCTCAGATCCAGAGTATTGAACTTTCAGTAGCATTCAGAAGTATCACCAGTAGCAAAGTTCTCAAAGCGATACTCATGATAGGCCTTGTTGTTCTGGAAATAGATCGTGTGAGCCTGACCAGCTTGGGACCACGTGAGACCAGTCACAGTGGTTAAAGTAGTCCACTCATCACTTCCACTACGAGCCTTCAACACAAACTGACGAACTTGCTGAGTGTTTTGTGTATAATACAGCTTGATAGTAATAGAGTTGATCCATTCATGTCGATCATTGTTGAAGGCAATGTTGTAATAGTTATTAGCACACGAAGAATAGTATACTGTGTGTGAATAGTATTGGTTCAACAAGGATGAAGGGTATCCACTAATTGCACTGTAAGAGATAGTGTAGTCAAAGACACGAGATTCCTTTGACTCGCACATCAATCGAAGAGCACCATCGAAGATCGCCTCCTTCTGGTTTGCATTGGCAGCAACAATTCCAATAGCGATGGTATTCGATCCCTGCTGGATGTAGTTCACAGCAGCGGTATCTCCAACTTGAACCGTCTTGATGGGAAGGGAAATCTGGTGATAGAGAGTGTTCGTGTAAATGTTGTCAGCATAACTCGAAGTGCTGATCGTAGCATCCGTCAATCCCTTTCTGAACGCTTCGTGTCCATTCAGATAGACAATGCATCCATACTTGAACTTGATGGAAAGAACGAATCCAGCAATGTTGTTGATATCCGCCACATTGAACGTCTTTTTGTACAGCTGGATCTGGTTGGAGGAATCGGGATAGTTGCTGTCATTTCCCTCAGTCTATCCTTCAGTGGAAGTCGACGAATACCAATCAGCAGGAACTTCTCCATGCTTGTAATGCCAGCTAGAATGGGGCTGAATGGAATACTGAGCATTGAAAGTACGACTCGTAGGGAAGCCGACATTTGTATCATATCTCATACGAAGAATCGTTTCCATCTGAGTACCAGACAAAACAGCGCGGACATAGAGATGGGAAACAGCATTCCAATAAGTAGAGGTGGATCCAACAGTCACTTCATACTTGGAATTCGTAACACAAGTAATGCTACTCCAATCCTCATTATTAACCTGACCCGAGTAGGCAGCAACAGACATAACCACCTGCTGATTCGTAGTATCCTTGATTTCGAAACTCTCACTTGTAGCACTCGATCCATAGGTACGAAGAACGTTGATGACTGTTCCAGCACATTCCTGAATAATAAGGGTAAAAGTTCCAGTGTAGGTGTTTCCAAGAACAACCGAAGACACAGTAACTGTCACACCCGACACAGCATTGGCCACAACTCCAGTAATCACGCAAGTGGCAGCATCAATAGAGAGTCCTTCAGGAAGATTCTGAGCTGTGCAAGAAGTAAACTCGGTAATATCAGGCTTAACATACACCTCTTCGTATTTGGCCCAGAATGTGTAAGTATTGGGAGTGAATGTAATCGAGGTAGGAATCGCTATTACACAGGTCAGAGGCTGCATTTCGTAGACGTTCGAATAGGTGGTACTGCTACTCTCGATAGTAAAACGATATTAAGGATAAAGTCCAGCATAGAAATAGCATCCAAACGTTTGATATGTGCTCGACTCATAAGCAGCTCCAGAGACACTGATCACATTTGTCCACTGCGAATTATCGTTCGATCCTTGCCAAGTGAAGGTACTAGGCGCAGATGTAGCAGATGTGTAAGGCCATACACGGACAGAGTTGATGTAAGCCTTATCACCATTGAGAGAATAGGTTACAGTTGCAGGGAAGTCTGTGGAGTCAATACTGTAGTAAGTAGATCTCGACCAGTCATAAATACTAGCAACATACGATCCTTGGATGGAAGACATGGAGGCATCATCAGAATAGATGAAACAGTTGCCATCCGTAGTAGAAGAAGCCAAAATAGTAAGATAAGCATTGAAATCGACGTTGGTTTGCGCAGTATAGAAATGGACTTCAACAGCCAGAATCGATTGCTGGGCAGCCACTTCAGTACCAGGACGAATAAATCCATGGTAAGCAATATCAGGGTATTTTCCACTCGCAGTAGTACCAGCAGAAATAGGTCCAGCAGGCATGTTATCACGATAGACTTCGGCTCCATTGATATAGGCAACCACTCTAGCCTTGTAGTACAATTTAACATTGTAAGCAGCCATGTTTGCAAGACCCACAAACTGCTTGCGGAAGTACTGAGTACCGGTCGCAGTCGTAGTCACAGAGCCAAGGGTAGCATCCGACCAAGTGCTGTCAGAGAACGAATAATCAGTCCAGCCATCAGTAATCGATCCAGAGGTCATCTTCCAAGTAGCATCCTTGTCGATACCATAGTACAAAGACACAGTATAAGTTTCTTTACGCTTATCAACCATAAAATTCTTGAATACTACATTACCGTGCTTTCCATAAATAGCAAGAGAAGCTCCGTTATACCAAGAGTCACCATAAGAATCAATCATCTCAACGGTGTATTGGTTGTTGGTGGAGGTAGTCAGGCATCGTTCAATAGTTCGAGTTTCATAGTTCGCAAAATTAGTTCCCGTATACAGCAAGGTAGATCCAGAATATACCTTGAACGACTCTTCATATGCATACATCGAGCCGCACTTCTTAATGAATTTCACGTACGTCTCTCCAGTAGTACAAGTTAGGTCACTTAGCGCAATGGCAACTAGAGATCAATTTCAGAACAAAGATATACTCAGCAATAACAATATCAGAGTCAATATCATCTTGTTAACTCACAAAAAAGATTATCAAATTTAAATATTTATGAATATTTATGAATATTAATAGAAGATATAATAAGGACACAGAGGCCCATATTACTACCCAATCATTTCAACAATAAAGACAAAAATAGTCTATAATTTTGGAAATGACACTATTCACTTTTTGATCTATATTCGATATTCGATAAATAGAGAATTGAATACTGACAAAAATAAGATGTACAACTGTAGCTAAGAAAAGCTATAGATGGTTGTACATATAATTAAAATTCTTGAGTTTCTATTGGCTATAAATTTAAAACGGACCACAATTGGGACAAGATTGTACATAATCGTCTATTTGTGGTAATAATAATTACACAATCATTTTGTGGAAGGAATAATAGGCGTATGGAGTTCTATCTAGTATATTCCACTGATCAGAAAGGGCCCATACTATATACTGACCCTGTTCTATATCAATTAGCATGTAAAAAAAGGAAACAATTGTTGGCAGTCCGTGTTTGTTCTTCTCTCCCATGCTTAATCTGTAGAAACGTAACGTAAAAAAGAGAATGAAGGTCGAAAAAAGGCCAGTTGTGCCTCAAGCGAAGTGGATTGTTGTAGATTCCATCAAATATAAAGACAATGACTTTACTAAAGTTAAAGTGTTGTATCATAGAATCCTATCGAAATAATGTGAGTGCTAGTTGTCTTTTATGTTTGGTGGGAATAAATATTGTTTATCAAATATGGTCTCTTATGCTTTTTTTACAAGTTACTGCCTTTATAGGAAAGTATTTATTTTATGCTACGTATAAAATTCGTTTGTATAAGTAAGACAAACGAATACATAGTAATAAGATAAAATAGTTATGTTCGTTCAAAGCGCCAGTTCATTGTTTTTAACCCTCTCAGGTGATTACGTATTCAATATTTGATTACCTGGTATTGATGATCACACGAATATATTGATGAATGTTTTTTGACGCAGTCTAATGTATGGCTGGTAAAGTTTTGTGTGTAGAAGACGTTATGTCCAATAATAACGTTAATAATAATATAGAGTTGAATACTGTTTTAACAATTGTGAACTATTTGGGTGGTGATACTTTAATGTCTGTGTATATATGGAATTGTGTTGTAGCGAATCCGTGAAATACACTCAATATTACATTTTAGAAATATGAGAGTTTATAGAATATCAAATTCGGCATAAGGAGAATGACCCTACAAATAGGTATTTTTAGTTCATGCAGGGCTATTAAATCATTGGATAATACAGTAGAGAAGCAAAATATGAAATTGTAGAGAACAACAGAACATATTATTCAGATGGTACACTCTGATACAAAATACTATTTCGATCATTTCATACGTTTCTTAACAAGGAATCCAAAACACAGAACGTAGAAATACACGTTCGATTGAGGTGAAGAAATACGAAATATACTTTTTTCGCATGCCAATGAATGAACCCACATATTTAAAAAAAAGAGGATATCAAAAGTACAAAGAAAACTAGAAACATTTAAGGCACAAATCAAGTTAACATAAGAAATAGTAGTAGAAGTATATCTTCATACCGAAGTAGTCGTAATAGTTTACAACATTCAAAACCCAGTAATCAGCTGATCAGTGATATACTGTGGATTACAAACAGTGTTTCACATTCAATTTTTAAGGAATAGAACCACAATGAAAGTCAGTACCATGTCCTCTGCATTTAACATACTCTCTTTCCAGATCTTACAAGCTAAAGTGAAAAATCAGCATTCTATCCTTATTACTCAGGTAGATTATTGGTTCTTCCATCCATTGTGAAATTGCCTAAAAACAATACAACAGGTACAAATGTGAATCAAAAAGCGATATTCGGGTGGATTCTTTTACCTCGATTGTAGTTCATAGTAATCATGTCAATAATGAGGTAGATAGAATTATTCAATCTGATTTTTCGCTTATTACACAAGTAGTTTGTATTTTAACACATTTCGCGTAGGAAGGGAACTTTTGGACATGGTTGTCAAGAAACTGGATAGAACGACGTGCAGTAGTTTCGTAAAGCCGTAGATAACGCTGAGTACACACTTAAGGTTGCATACACTTTTACGATTCTTCAAAGCGCTCGTTGTTGATACTAATTCTATTATGGATAGGGAGATCAGAAAACTGGAAAAAAGACTTACGAAATCATTGTAATTTATTAAATAGTGTATGGAACGGTACTTTTCTTCCTACCACTTAGTGTCAGATAACACTCCATGGTATGACTCATCTAATTCATCCAATTCGGAATCTAAGGTGTCTCATGATGGTACAGGGAACGATCCATATGGAGAAGTCGGTATCTCTGATTTAGTATGAAAGTCGCTGAACGAGTGAGTCAGGAAAATGTGGAAGAAAAAATGAACGAATGCTGCGAGACAACGTGTACGCGATCGAGATTCTCGCGTCTACTGGACAGGGAATAGTTATCGAGAACGGCGAGTGTTCACATCCTGTGCTCTGCTTAGGCAACATGCCGTGCTATGCACGCAGAAGACGAAGGCGCTGCTTCCGCAATTTGGAAAATGTTCGGTACGCTGCCGTTTTGTTTACGATGAATGGAGCGACCCGATGGAGGTCGCTGGCAGTGAACGGTGACAACAGATAGCAGACGATGTAACACAAAAGGTTACGAAGTCTGGTGGAGCAGAACTATATGCCGCTGTTGGATCATAGAGGAAGCCATGTGTCGCAGTGGGAAACACGTTTATTCATAGGGTTATCTATGAGGTGGTGTTGTCAATGGCACTAATTGTTTTTTGAAAACTTCGTGCAAGGTGTTGGGATAATGGGTTGAAGCCAATAATTGACCTGTTATTTTATAGTTGAGTAAATATTATATTTAGAAAGTATATTAGTGTGATTAACTTTAAAAGTATGTACAAAGAATAATGGTAGGTGTATTAAATAAACAAAAGCAATACAAAGCACAGAATACACAATTATCATAAAATGGAATTATTTGAAAAATAAGGAGTTTATATTGGAATTACTATTAACATGAGTAATTCAATCATACACATCTTCGATTCTAATTGGAATGTTTAACAAAAGTAGAATTATAGTCTAATGGTAAAAGAAAAACACGAAAACTAAGCTCTATAAAGATTTCGATCAAGCATATTTGAGTGATTCAAGTAAATTACATTTCGAACATTTGGATTATCTATATACTACCAATACTCAGTGTTTATAAGTATTCTCCATGGTTACAACATGAGGATGACGGAAACTTCATTTTTCAGAGTTGATAATAAAGGGTTAGATTTTGAAAATCTATGCATTACCCAAATATTCAATATCATGTCAATACCTCGAACCATAAAGAAGTTGGCCTAATAGTAATTGTATGAATCACTTCCAATAATACCAATTTCTATCGATTCCAATGATTCACAATTCAATATGTGGAATGATTTTGATATATCTTTTCCCCTGTTATTCTTTTTCTGAGAAAATAAATTGTTTCCGATTTTGATCGTTTTCAATCGATTCAATCCATCGATTTGGAATGTTTTCACTGATCCAAAACATTCATCGCCGATTTCGATTGATTTCAAATTATACAACAATGAAACATCCCAATCAACCAATACACAATTGTTACTCAGTTTCAAATGTTTCATTCCGATATTCAGTGGTTTGCTTCCATCTCCTTCATATTTTTCATCAATAATACTTTCAATTCCATTATACCATTCACATTCATTCACTAATTTACCATATCGATCATAGACTTTTCCAATTCCAAATCGCTTATCATCACACCAATATCCTTCATATTCAATACATCCATTATTATGATAACTCGTTCCATATCCAAATCGTTTCCAATTGATCAGTATTCCCTTGTACACCAATATTCCATCATCATCATACATTTCACCATATCCAAATGGAATTCCCAATTTGTTTTCTGTCAATACCAACCCTTCAAATCGACTTCCATGATCCAAATCCACGATTCCTTCTACTACTATGGATTGTTCTTCATTATATGAAATAGCACCAATTTGATGATTTCCAAACACTTTCAACACTTTCTGCTCATTGACCACAAATCCTTGATTCATGAATACTCCACTCCATTTCATTCCACAACCCAGTTTCCCCCACTTTTTTCCCCTTTTCCCCACTCCCCCAATCCACCTGATTCCAACAAACACTCCAATAAAACAACTCTCTTTCCATGAATCCAAACAGTGCGATCATCGCTATCGCCAGAATCACAAAAGAACCGCCGCTCGAAACCTCCATTTCCGCGGTTTTCTCCGCCTCACAATGCAAAACCACGTGATTCGCTTCGTTCTTCCGAATTTCCCGCTCGATTTCTTCGCACCTTCCCTTCCCGCCCTCCACCTTCACTCGCACTTTTCCCTCCTTCACCTCCTTCACTTCGAAACTCCCGCCGCGCGTCACTTTCCCCGTTTTCCGGCCTTCTTTTCCCTCCACCACTACCTTCATCCCCGCGGGAATCGCACCCTCGCTCTCCACCACGCCGCTCACGCGCCCCGCGGTTCTCTCCCGCAGACTCACGAACTTCACGTCCCGCACGTCCCCCGCGGTTATCTCGATCTCCTGCACCGCGGGAATCACGTGCTCCTCCCCCAGCACTTGGAGGGAAAACCGCTCGCCCGGCTTCAGCCCGCGCACGCGGAAGTTTCCCTCCAAATCCGTGCTCGCCGACTCCCGGATTCCCGCGGGACTCTCCGCGATGATTTTTTTCCGCGGGAGCGGCTGCCCGGTCAGCGTAACGACCGACCCGAACGCGCTGAACGCGATTCGCTCCCCCTGCAATGAAACGCCCGACTCGTCGCCCTCCGCCACGTCGACCGTCTGCCCCGCGGGGAGGAACCGGAACTCCTTCAGCTGCGCGTGCAGGTAGTAACGCCCCGGGAACAAGGGACCGAAAACCGCGGAACCGTCGCTCCGCGAAACGCCCGTGAGCTTGGCGGTTTCGCTGGAGAGCGCCAATAAAACGCCCTCGATGGGGTTTCCCGCCAAATCGCGCGCGACGACGCGCAGGGAACCCAATTGTTGGTGGGAAAAGTGCAGACCGTCCGGGGAAACGTGGAAAACGTAACCCTCCTTCCGCGCCGCCACGTGGAACCGCGACGAAAACGGAATCGCGGGGAACTGATATTCCCCGCGGGAATCGCTCAGCGTCGATATTTCGCGGTTATTTTCCGATTCCAGCGTCAGCGTCACTTCCACGTCGGAAACCGCGGGAATGATCTGCCCCGCGACCACGCGGCCCCGCTGCGCGACGACACGCTCCACCGCGGGGATGCAGCGCGTCGACGGCACGTGGACAGGGAGAACCGCGGGGATGAACAGGAACGAAGAATGGGGCGCACCGAATTCCAGCGAAACCTCCCCCGCGGGAACGAACTAGTGGAAACGTGGAAACGTGGAACTACCAGCTGATAGTGGTACAAATCGCCCGTTTTTTTGGCCACCGTCTCGGCGAGAACCGCGGTTTCCCGCTTCGCGCGCACCAAAATCTGTGCGTCATTCCCGCCAATTCCAATTTCCCACCAAAACTTCTTCGCCCATTCCCGCCAATTCCGCGCCCTCAATCGTTCCCTCCACCGCGAAAACCGCGGGAACCAGCGACAGCTCCGCGTGCTCCCGCGACACCACCTCGATTCCCGCGGGAGTGCGGAAGCAACCCGCCAATTCCACTTCGTACCGCGCCCCGCTCACGCAGAACCGACTCGTCCCCGCGGGGATCGAGATCGACCGACTTCCCGCCGCCGATCGCAGAACCGCGGGAGTGGCAATCGGGGAAACGATGGAAACCACGTAGCCGGTCTGGCGAAACTCCAGGTCCGAAACGGACTTTTCCCGCACATCCACCGCGATACGGAACTCATCCCCGCGGTACGCCGACCCGTCGATGAAACTCCCCCAGCATCCATTCTGCCGGTTACAATATTGTTCCGGAACACGATTCCTACCGAATTCGACAGTTTCACTTCGTACTCGCCCGGCAGAATTCCATGGAATTCGAAATTGTGTTTCGGGTCAATTGGGACACTTCCGATCGATTGCGTCCCCATCACCAATTCCACCGCGGAATTCGGGCCCAATTCTGTCAAAACGGTCACGTGACCCGAAATCGTCTGCGCGATCGGGCTCAGCACCACTTCCGCGGGAATCTCCTGGTTCCCCACAGAAACCTCCGCCTCGGTGAACGTCAATTCCAGATTTTCCCGCGGTAATTTGGCGGGTTTCACGGAGATCGTGTAGATTCCGGGGGACAGCTAAAAAAAACTCACAGAACCGCGGTTATCGATACCATGAAGCAAAACTGTTCAGTGGTTTCGTACTCCTTGAGCACCATGTTGTTCTGCGATACCTGTACGGAATATTTGGCGGGAAGCATCGGCTACAAAATTGACAAAAATCGCCACGATTTACGTAGTTTCGAAGGATCTCCGTTTCCACTTTTCCACACTGAATGTAATGCGTGATCCTCAAATCCGGAATCTGGTTCTCCAGTTTCCCCGGTTTCCCCTCCACTTTTTCGAACGAAAAATGGAACGGATCTTTTCGCGCCTATTTTCAATTGTTCCCCGCGGTTCTACATCGATCATGTACAGCCGGCTCTTCATTCCCGCCAACACGTAGGTTCCATCTTTCCCCGTTTCCACCTCCGTTTCCCGCGAATCCACGCCGATCTTCGCGTGTTCCACGGGAATTCCGCGCTCGTCCACCACTTTCCCGCGGAGATTGAACCCCGTGATCTGGAACACTGTTCCCAAATCCACCGAATCCCCGCGGACTCGCACCGACAGTTTCGACGGCTCCACCGTCCACTCCGGCGCGCCCGGCGCAACCGCGGGAATGATCCAGTAAATTCCGTCGGTCAGCGAAGCGAGGGAGAAAATCCCCGCGGGATCCGGCTGGGCAGTACCCACTACCGAGCCATCCTCGCGGGTAAACTGCAGCGAAACGCCCTCGAAGGAGGACACGCCGCTGAGGTTCTCGATCTTCCCCGCGATTCTGTAGCCCGAAACCACGAAGTCGGTGCGGATTTCCGCGGGACCGAAGCCGATGGAGAGCACTTGGCGGGAAGGCTCGTCGAGCGACCAGGACGGATGCTCCGCCACGATCACGTATTCCCCGCTCACCACGTTGGGGAAGGCGTAATCCCCGCGGGAGTCGGTTTCCGCGGTTTTGAGGACGAATCCGTCGCTGGAGAGAAGCTTGACGGTGAGGCCCTGGGGAGGCACGGAGGAGTGCTTGTTGCTGGTGTGGCCGCGGACAAGGAAGCCGGTGATCTCAAACTCCAAGTTGCTTTCGCAACCAGAGAGATGATCATCATCGTCCTTGCTGATCTAGCGATTAGAGTGGAGTAAAAACTAAGGAATAATACCGAATAGGAGTCGGGAGAGAGATACCAGCCGTCCTTCTTGGAGATGGAAAGCGTATAGTCTCCCTAGCTTTTAGAAAATACGACTGATTTTGTACGATGTCGTAAACTGGAATAAAGAAATATCCTTGGGGACTGCATTCGGTTTGTTCTTGCACAATTCCTTCCGAAGTGATCAAAGACACAACAATATCAGACAAATTGGGAGCACTTCCAATGGCTCTACTTATGAATCGACTTGACTCGATTATACTTCAAAATTTCGCGAGAAACTCGTACGTTACCCGCACAGCCAGAAATACTGTCAGAAGCCGCTAGAGCAGCCAGAATAAGCACGAATGCAAAATATTTCATTGCAAGTCGATTTAATAGTCCACGTTCATAATGCTGTTCGTTCCATAAAACCCCGATCAGTCTGCATTTTTGGAATTCCCGAAATCACATTAGTGAGATGGGAACTAATTTTATGAATTGTTAGGAGCCAATGTATTATGGATCAATGTGAAGTGTTGACTTCTTGAAGAGTGTGTTTTACGATTATCACTCAATCTTTCTTTCTTTCTAGTATAATTGCCTGTTGTGCAACAATCATTTTGTTTGGTTTTTATTCTTTATATTTTCTTTCCAACTACTACTACTACTACTACTACTACTACTACCCCAACCAATTCCATTGCATTTTCATCAAACACATCAATCATTCCAAATGCAAACCGTTTCCTTCTTGAACCATTCTTCCACGCGTTTAAAAATCTCGGGCATCTCCGGCCGTTCATTCTACCTCACATCTCGTTCCACTCGCCTACTTCCTCTTTCATGCAGTCCGACACAATTCCGTAAATAACTACACTTCACTCTCTCTTTCCACTACCCCACTTTCGTCCTTTTTCAGCGCCGAATTCACCTTAAATCGATATCCCTCCTCCATCATGAATCCCCACTACGCTCTACGCTCTCCTCCAATCCTACATTCGCATCCGTCAATTCCTTCGCCACTCCGTTCTTGTATACATTCACTGGGAAACATCCCGTGAGAATCTCCGATATAAGCAAGCCAAGCGCGTAAGCATCCGCATGAAGCAGCACGCGATGCACTTCATCCGGCTCCATGTTCTCAATCTCGATGAGAATCCGCCACAACTCCGGGGCTCGACTACATTTCAATCCATTTCAACCACGACTGCAGTTTATTCCCAATATTCACGATCGAGCTCGTAATGTCGCCATTCGCGAACTTCGCCATTCCGAAGTCCGAAATCATCAAATCCCCCTTCTCCGACACCAGAATATTATCCAGCTTCAAATCCCCGTGGCAAATCTTCTTCAAAAACACGTACAACAGCCCCGTCGCGATCTGCATCACGTAAATCTTCCGCAGCCAATAGGCTTTCTCGTTTCCAGCCAGCCGTTTCACCGAATCGCTCAGCCCATCGTCCTGCGTCGACAGCTTTCCCAGCACGTGATCCAGCGACGTCTTCGCTCGGTCCTCCAAAATCGTGATGATTTTGGATCCGTCCTTCTCCGTTTCCACGTTATACCCGTACACGCGCAGAATCGAAGGGTGTCGCAGCGACGCCATGATCGAAATCTCCTTCAGCAAGCTCTTCTCGCTGAACTGCGGCGACGTTCGGCACTCTTTGATCGCGATCATTTTGTCTTTGTAGATTCTGACGTGAATTTCCACTTTATTTTTCTCTACCCTTCGTAGACTTTCCCGCTGCAGCCTTCGCCCAGAAGGCGGCCCTTCTCGTAACGGTCTTTCGGGATGAGGAACACGTGATCTATGTCGAAATAACCGCGATTGTCTACCGTCGAGACTAGAAATGAGGTAAAAAAAACCGCGGGATTACGGGCGAAGGAGGGGCGGGAAGTGGCTGAACTCGCGCTGGAGATCGCAGATAAGGGTGTAAAGGTTTGGATTCTATGATTAGATGAAGAAAAGTTCAAAAAATACGTGTTGTTGGTTCCAATTGTACATGTAGGAGGTAAAAATACGATTATTGGTATGATCGACAAAAGGACATTGCTCGTTGCTTGTAACGCCTACGTAAAAAGGAACAAAAACAAACATACAAGCATCATCGCAAAGGTAAATGTCGGGACACTTCACCATATTGATGATATTCGGATTTAGGAGAATATTAACTGGAATGGCAAATTGTTCCCCGTTGTTTTCGCAGACAATCGACATTGAAAACTGAACTAACGAATTCGCAGAGTAATTCGTACGAACTAGCTGTAAACTCCACTTCAGAATATACCTTCCATTGAATGGTATAGATATGCGCGTCTTTCGACTAAACAAGTGTACAGGTGATATATAATATATTTGTACTATTCTTTATTTAACAAGCGCCAATATCATACGGAGAGAGGTTTCGATATCCGCTTCAAAAGGACAATTGCATCTTGAAGTGCTTTGGACTGACTTTTCTTACCAGTAACATGATATTCTTCTCTCTCTTTAAATTGAGGAGCGATCATCAGTTAACAAATTCTTTATAGTGATTACTTTACTTTTGACTTTATGGAACTATACCAGTATTTGTTTTTCCTTAACCGAATTGCCTATTTCTTGTGGTGTGAATTGCTGTGGATTCGAATCCCTGGAGTTTTGTTAGATTGTAGTTTACTATGATTATTAATTACGTAGCATATATATTTGATCGTTCTGAACCCGTTTCGATCCTTATGGGAATCTTGTCAATTCTGATTGATTACACTATTATGGAAAAGCTGCCGACTGTGCTGGAATTGCCTGATAATTCCATAAAAATGCTTTATGCAGTCCATCCTTTGAGTAATCTGCAATGTGTAACGTGTTCTTCTTCCTTTCTTGCAACGGCGTTGCTCTTGCATACTCGCATTCATCCTCTTATCATTGCCATCTGTTTCTGGGAGATCCCATTGAATTATCACGGTATATTGTCCTACCTCTTACAAGATTCGCATTCTACCTTTGTTCCCTTTTTGTTGACTGTCGTTGTGGGAGTAACAATTGTTCCCTTGCTCGTCAATCGTCATCGCCCCTTCGTTCTTCTCTACTTCTCGCTTTTATTCTATCCTAAAGGGTTTCAATCGATCTCCATTGCGCTGTGTTACTTGTATTTGAAGACTGATTCAGCTGTAAGTCTTCTCTTGTCTTCTCTAATCGCCTTCTCTGTTTCTCTGTATAATGATCTGCGTGTCAACGGATCCGATGTTTATGCAATGCAATATTATGTTAATTGTGCTACATTCCTCTTCTTTTCCCTTGTACTCACTCGATCGATTCCTATCGAGAAGTGATTCTATCTTTCTTTCTTTCTTTCTTTCTTTCTTTCTTTCTTTCGCTTTATCATCAATTCACCTTCACTCCTTCCAATCCAAATCCTCACTGTATTAATCTCCTCAGCTTATTTCCATTCCAAATCAGCGTATTTTTGTTTCAACAAACAACGAATTCACGCCATTGCCTTCTTCTTTCGATTCTTTCGTTCTTCCATACGACGATCTTCTTCCTCTCTCAACTCCTTCTCGCGCCTTCTCTCTTCCATCTTCTTCGCTATATTCTCAACATCCAGTCGCTCTTTATCCGCTTTATCGATCTGCTCCTGCATCGAGTACCACTTGTGGGAATTACGCGGCATCTTGAATCCCTCGCCTAGCAAGCTGCTCCACTTTCCACGCTCCGCCTTCTTCATGTTTACCACAATTCGACTCACCGCAGCACGCGACCAAGTGCAATTAGCAGGAATAACATCTGCGTGCAGCTTGATGTTCATATGAAACGTTTTACCCGAAGAAGGACTAGAAACTAACAAACAATCCAAAAAAACGAACCAGCGAGCCAGCAGCTGGAAATGCGTTTCGGTGAAGTTGACCGATATGTCGTCGCACTCCAACGTGGCTGGAGCGTCCCATTTGTGCGCTAGCTTGATATTCAGAGCCACCTCGTCGATTCCATCTGCCCACTGATAGGCAGGCGGTATCATTGTTGCCTTCTGCTTGTGCGCATTGAAAATGCTCTGCAGCTTTCGGATTTGGATGCTATTTCCTCACCCGCTCCAACGACTTACTTTTTCTCCTGAATCGCATGCGTAAACTCCTTTTGGATGGGTGTTTCGAGCGACTGGAACTTCTCGATTGCCTTTGCAGCGAGATTCCACCAAGAACGTTCAATACACTACAAATCGCAATCATTTCGCGTTCTTTACCATAGCAATAATATCTACATCAAGCGTAGATCCTTCGAGGACAGCTTTGTCAAACAAAGCAGTAGCTTCCGTTTCGGAGGCACACTCTCTCAACATTGAGGAGCAAGCCACAAAAGAAAAGAACAGCAAAAGTAGAATACACCTCATGAATGATTAGTGCTTCCCATGATTCTATCCTTTTCATTTCGCCTATTGTAACAAACAAACAAATAAACAAAGAAGAGAACGAACAGATCGATTCTATTACAACACCAACTAAAACGAATCAGGAGTTTCCATCCCCGAAAACGCGCTACACTTCACCCTTCTTCTCCTTCTCCCTTACCTTCTCGCAGTACAAGCAAAAAACAACACCTTCTTTAATTCTTTATTGTAAAAAAAGTAATTGAACGACCAACTAGTCCTAAGCCCTTCCCTCCCCTTTTGTACATTTGCCCTTCGCTCAGAGGATCATCCGAAAGATCACTCAAATAACTATATACAAGGCAGTTTCGAAGCTGGATAGCAGAATCGATCTCACTCCAGACACTACCAAAATCAATTTCCGGAACTTCGCACAGTTGTCGATTTATCTCATTGATAGCACGAGAAGTGCTATCAACACAGCAGAAATGATCCGGCTTGACGTTACTACCTGTCAAACGAATACAACGTGGAGAACCTAAAATCGTAGTCTGGGAACGATAAGTTGAGCGTGGAAATAAGGAATCCATAGACCTTGCACATTTCAGGATCTTCCAGTTTCCCTTGTGCACAAGTTAAGAAATTTGAATTGCAGAATGATTAAGGATATTACTTGAATAGGATAAGTGCTCGACGTCTTTCAAGTAGTCTTGTCGTAGTCGCCTTGATAGTTTCTTTTGTTCGGGCGACATTTTACCTGTGCTCGACCCATATCCGAATTATTACAGGAATACATTTCAATTCTGCAGTCAAGCTGCATATCACTTTCCGTTTCGGAATTAAGTTTAGAACACAGAACAGATAGACTTGGGACTTCCAGGTATTTCATTTCTACTAATATACACTTCGAAAATGAAGATTCCCGCTAAATGCCAAAATTTCACGGTTAAATTTGAATTCTTCCCTCCTATTTCGAGAACAAACAAAAATCCAGCTCGGATAAAACAACAACAACAACAACAGCATTATTAATAGCAATGCCACCAAATTACGCAGCTTCCTCCTTCTCTTCCTTCTTGTGCTCTGCCATGTTTGTGTTGTCGACTGTTGTGGGAAGTACCTTCTTCAACGCCGTTCTGTCACATCTCCACCGGATGAAAAAGTACGAGGGAACGTTCCAGCAAATCACCGCCGCACAGAACGACAAGAGAATACTGGCGATGGCGGGAAGCTGCGTGTTCGTGTGCAACGCACCGCAGAGCAGCGCATACCACCCAACCCTATGGTTTGACACAGTTTCGCGGCACGTACGAGCAACCTCCAATAATCATGGGACCAATGGCGCCGGTAGAGACAGCCGCTCCCTGGGCCAGACTGACTGACACGATCGAGGTGCTGAACACAGCGGGGAAGCCAGAGAAGGCTCCCGCGAAAAGACCAAACCCACTCGAGCTAATCCAGCTGCTGAGGACGATGCAGGCCATGCAGGAGAGTCCCCGGAGGAAGTGGATGAGGGGCTTCACCCGATTCTTGCCCTTCGGAGTGGGAGGAAGCGACCAGCACAGCCAAATGCCGATGACCACACACAGCACCATTACACAAATCGAAAAGAGCCAAATAGGAACGCCTCGCTCGTTCGTGAAGGTTTCAATCGAAGTGACCAGGAATGCGGCAATGAACCATGCCACGAATGACAAGAGGAGCGTAATCCAGGTGGTAGCAGTGTTGCTATAACGCTTACTAAATTTACTGGGAAGAATCTTCCACACTGGCAAAAACACGAGGTTTGTGGCCATGGTTCCTGTCGACTCACTTCACTGGCAAATTCCTACCGATTGGAGTGGCAAAGAGAGACGCTGCCTGCTCCACACGCGTTTTTCCGTTATCTGTGAGAAAAATGTACGAGGTAGGAACCACCGTGGTCGGGATCGACACGATAATTCCTCCGATCGCTCCTCCGCATCGCTCGATGCAAATCGCCACCACAATGGCAATCACGAATCCCGCACTTCCAGACACAATGGCTTTCGTCCAGTTCATGTCCCCTCTCTCCAACCCTTCGTTTCTGCAACAAACAGGAAATTGGTATCGAATAATGCCTGCCGCTACGAGCAGCTGGAAGCCCTTATTAATCCGGGGATCCTCCAGCACGCGCGACCCCTTCGGATTCTCGCTCAACTCCTTCAACGCCTGCTGCATGGTGGCATCGTTCACCAGCGCCTGGATCTCAGGATCCTGCATATTCCGCTTCTGCTGCTCCTCGTCCACCGGCTTCGTCTGCATCTACCCCTCACACCCGCCTCTCTGCCCTACCTCGGCGATCTTCTGCTGCGTCTTCCGCAGTCCGTCCTGGCATCCCGCGTCCTCAGGATTCAGCTCCAGCCCGCGCTCGAAGCTCTGCAAGCACCGATGGTACTTCTTCAGCGCCATCTCGATCAGTCCGCGGCGATGGTACGCCTTCACATACGTCGGGTCCAGCTCCAGCGCCTTCTGGATGTCGTCCAGCGCGCGCCCGTAGTCCATCAGCTTGCTCAGCGCCGTCGCGCGGTTGCAGTAGAACGACGGGTTCGTCGGGTCGCGCCGGATCGCCTCGTCGTACTCGCGGATCGCCGCGGGGAAGTCGCTCTGCATGAACAGCGCGTTGCCCCGCTCCTTCGCCTTCAGCGCCTAGAGTGGAGCAAAAACCGCGGGAATACCTCTTCGGGGTTGAGATAGGCGCGCTTTTTGGCCTCCTCGATGAGCCGGTCGCACTGGCGGATCTTGTCCTCCACACCTTTGAGCGGGCTTTCCGTGCGCGACGACAGGAACGCCTCCTTGGCGGCCTCGTAGTTCTCTCGCTTCATCTCGGCATTTCCGATGCGGATGTAGGTGCGCGCGACGTCTTCGTACTTGGCGTGGACGGACCGCGCGATGTCCACGGTCTCGTTACAGTACGCCACGCATTCCTCCAGCTTCCCCTGCTCCAGCAGCACCGCCGAAACATTGTTCCGCACCGTGACGTTCTGCGGGTCCACCTCTAGCGCGGCGTTGTACTTCGCCAGCGCGCCCTCGAAGTCCTTCTTCTTGTACAGCGCGTTGCCCTCCTCCTTCAGCGCCTGGATCTTCTTCTCCTCCTCCGACAGCTCGGGAGCCGGCGGCTCCGCAGGCTGAGCAGGCTGAGCGGGCTGCGCAGGCTTGGGAGAAGCAGGCTGAGCGGTCGGAGGAGCGGTCGGCTGAGCGGCTTGGGCGAAGGAAGAGGCGAATTTGGGGTCGATTTGGGCGAGACGCGCGTAGAGAATGGCGGTGTAGCGAGGATCTTTGGTGATGGACTCTTTGACCGAGGCGTCCGTCTCGGCTTTGCGGAGAAGCTCCATGAATTCCGCGTCTTGGCGCAGATAGGCGAGAGACGGGGTCGAATTGACGATGTCGATATCCGGGACGCGGAAGATGTTGGCGAAGCTGGCGGCCGTTTCTTTCGCCTTTTCTACCTCGGCCAGACCGCGCTGGAGCATGGGATCATTTCCGCACTTTGCCATGCCTAGTTGTTACGAGTCGAACGAAAAAGGCGAGTACCTTCTTTGTATGTGCTAGCCGCCTCTTCTAGTTCCATTCTGGCTTGCTCGGCTGCTCCCTTTCGGCAATATCCCTTCGCCCAAGTGGGGTTCAGCGCAATGCACTTCACGCCATCGTCGTACGCCTCGTCCACCTTGCCTGCGGCCAGATAGGCAGCGGAGCGGTTACTATACAAAATGTGATTGTTTTCATCGAGCTTGATTCCGTTGGAGTAGCACTCCACGGCCTTATCATACTGACGAGATTTCATGAACTCGTTTCCTTTCGCTTTCCAGGAATCCACGGTTTCCATTCCCTAGAGCTCAATGCCGCCGCGCAGCGCCCACTTCTTTCTGTCGAACTAAAAAATGGAAAACAGCAAAATAGAACAAAGCTTCTAGAACAAACAACGCTACGGCTTGAACTGATACTTGAAGTGGCTCGACGCAAGGAACTCGTGCTTCTGGTACGTGCAGTGCAAGTGCTCGTCCACGTCCTCCCCGATCGCCGGCGAGATGCCCGACAAGATGCCCAGGAACTGTCCGTCGGCGCTGGCCTGGCAATACTCCCAGTCCCGCTTGTCCTTGCGCTCCGGCTCGACCGTCTCGATCAACTGCCCGGCATAGACGACTTCTGCGCCGATGTCGACGATCTGATCCTTCCATCGAATTCGCTGCGACTGCTTCAGGAACGCGCCCTTCGGGTTGATGCCGTGCTACGTCCCACCTCCATCCCATTCCTACCGGCTTCGTGCCATCGCCCTTCTCGTTCAGCAGGGGCGGGGCGATCATTAAGTTCATCGCCGTGATCTCCGCCTGCAGCCGCGCGCTCGCGTTCACCGCCATATTCACCGTCGTCACGTTGCCCTCGCGCAGCGACAGCGGCCGCGCGGTCAGCGGCGCGCTCTCCGCCGCCATCGGTCCCTCGTACCGCAGCACTTCCCGCGGTTCCGTCGTGTTCAGCGGGAGTTTCACGCGGAACGTCTTGACCGGGCCGTCGTCCTTGACCAGCTCGCACACGCCGTTGATCGGCGTGAAGGTGTAGGCGGCATTGCGGATGATGAGCGGGATGGCGGTGAGGTCGCCGGCGATGCCGAAGGGTCGCACCGCGATGGTTCCCTCCAGCAGCACCTTCGCGATTCCCTCGGGAGTCTGTCTATGCATCACGGCCTCCGCCCTCCCTCACAAGGCTTTCACCGTTTCTTCCACGGTTCCACTCACCTGCACCACGTTCAGTTCCTCCGCCTCCGCTTCCTCGCCCACCGCTTCCTTTCCCGCGGGAGCCGTGGGAGCCGCGGGCACCGCAGCGACGTTCGCGTCGGCGGTCTTCACCTCGCTGCCCGTGTCCACGTTGACGGCTCTGCCGCCCGCGTTGGGCGCCGGCACGCCCACGGCGATGGGTTCCGCCGCGCCGACGGCGAGTTCCACGTCCTCCTCCTCCTTCTCCTCCGCCGCGCCGGCCGCGTCCTCCGCCTCCGCCTCCTTCTCCCGGCCCTCCGCGTCCAGCCCCAGCGGCCTGCACACCGCCGCCGACGCGGGCAGCAGCGGCTCGGCGCGGAACGCGGCGAAGTCCTGCGGCGTGAGCGTCGCGCCGAGCGCCGATTCCACCGCGGTGAGACGCTGCATGGCCGGACCCGCCTCGAAGGACTCGTCGACGATCAGCTCCGCCATCGGCGTCACGGCGGTCGCGGGGACCAGGTGGTTCGGCAGCTCCGTGCTAGGGTTCAAACCGCGGGGAGGACGCACGTCACGTCGAAGAATTCGTCGTACGGCTCCTTCTTCTGGTCCTGCTTCGCGATGCGCTTGATTTCCGCGGGGAGACGGCAGTCCATCTAGATGGGAGGACAACCGCGGGGAGACCTGCAGAACGGCGTCCCAGGCGTCGAGACGGTAGTCCTGGAGCTCGTGGGAGATCTCGCGCTCATGATTGATGTCGTTGATGTCGTAGAGAGTGTTGTCGGTGGTGTACTCGCTGAAGAGAGGGTCGTTGGCCAGGCGAATCTGTCGAAGAGGCGTGTCCAGCACGGAGAGACCTTCCATGCCGTTGATGCAGCGACGGAAGGCGTAGTAGAACACAATCTTGTTCATCTCCACCAGTTTATACTCGGGATTGCCCTTCATGACTTGGTAAATGACCTCGCGCACCTTGCTCAGAACATCCATCGCAAGGAACGGCGAGTGGTGGTCCAGATCCACGACCACAATGTAGAAATCGTTAATCAGCTGATACAGCAAACGATACGCACCAACCACCATGGGAATGGGCTGGGCGATGGGGAACACGTCCTCGATCTGCTTTCCTCTATCCCTCACCGCTCCCACCATTCATTTACCCCAAGACACTACGATTGGCACTGCGGCAAGATATACGGATATCCTCCATGGTATCGGAGAAGGATCGCAGCAGAGATGAAATACGGTGGTATCTACACGCATAAGCCTGCATCTGCACACAATCGCCTACGAGACAAGAGAGCTCTTCACGATGCACCCAATCTCTCCTCTAAGCGAAACAATGCAGATAGCAATCACACCCATAGTTGAAATCTAGAATTTGAAGTAAGTCACATTCAATCTCATGGATCGGGTTTTTATCATTCCCATTCACCCTTGTTTTCGCCTCCGTGTTGCTGATAAAACAAACAATTCAATAGGGAAGCGAATAATCCGCATCATTATAAGGAATCGGAGTGTCGTTCGAAGCGTTCTGGTGCATCGGCGGGTAGTTCTGAGGAACAGGCGCATATCCCGGCGGATAGTTCTGCTGCTGTGGCGGATAGCCCTGTGGCGGATAGCCCTGCATCGGATAGGGCGGATAGCCCTGTGCGGGATAGCCTTGCGGCGGATAACCCTGATATCGCTGCATCGGAACAGCGTACGTTTTCTCTCTGTAATCGTAGTCTCGGCGGTGCGGCTTCGTCCGGCCACGGCTGTGACTGCGGCTTCGACTGCGCCCGTGGGCGTGGCCGCGACTGCGCCCGGCAGAGCGAGATCGCGATCGTGATCGGCTTCGACTGCGACTTCGCGTGCGACTGCGGTTCCGATCGCGGTAATTCTCACTAGCGATGAGAAAGGGAAAAAAGAAGAGGCGTACAGACGCCTTGGCTTGAATCGCTCATCGGGCGCGGCTAAAGCGACTTTGCTGATTGTGAGGGTGAAACCCTCCTCTTCGCGTGTCGCGGGCTCCAGAATTTTGTCGTAATCTTCTTTCTTCGCGAACGTGACGAAGCCAAATCCGCGGGAGTTTTGTGTTCCTTTCTCAAAACAGACAAACGCCTCCTCGATTTCTCCCTACATGTTACGCAACTCTCCTTTAAAAAAAGCAAGTACGAATTGCTTAAAGTAGTTTTCGAGATCCGCGTTCTTCCATTCTTTCGGAATGCCGTTTACGTGGATTTTGCGTTTTTCTTTTGCGAATTTCTCGTCGACCACCGCTTTCGGGTCGGGGTCGCGCGATTTCGGAGCATTTTGGGGGGCATATTGGTACTTTAGCTTTGCTGGCTTTCCCTACAGTGGAAGGGGAGTGTTGTTAGAGAAACCTCGAATGAAACACCCGCTTCAAATGCCTTGAGAGACGAGACTGGATTGTCAAAGACTACAAAGCCAAATCCTCGCGGCTGATTTGAACTCTGGTCTCGGGCCAACCGGCTGTCTTTGATATTTCCGAAAGGTTCAAAGGCCTTCCGAAATGCCTCGTCGGTAAGTGTATAGCCTAGGTTAAATGCAAATATCTTCAAAAATCTATCATCGTTTTCCACTCTATGCAGGAAATTCTTGAATAACCCAATATCAGACTTATACCTAAAATTGGATCAAATAATGGAAAAATCACGTTTCTATTATCATGTTGATCAACTCCTCCTTTGACATGAAGTCCAACATATAAGAAATCGAATCGACCGAAATTTGGGTTCCATCACTGAAAACATAATTGACATTAAGAAAATCTCACAGGTCCACTGTGTTTTCCGATTTTGTTTCACTCATGGTACAAATACTGATGACCTTTTCGTTTCTGGAATTGCGGTTATTTTCGACTTTTTTGGCTAGTGCGTCTATTTTCATCTCTCATGTTCACTCGCTTTTTCCTGCTTCTTCTCTGCTCCATTTCCGTTCTTTCCTACTCTGCAGATGAACCTTATGAGTATGACGAGGAGGATCCGCTGAGTATCGGGGGAGGAACGCAGCAAACCTGCGACGCTTGCAGAACGGTTATGGACCAATTACTGCAAGAATGGCACACGATTGACAACGACTCCTTTTTGAACGCGATTAACGAAGCGGGATTGAAAAAGGAATACGTCCCCGTTGTTCCGGAGGAAGAAGTAGCTTTTGTTATGAACCTTTGTTTATCATTGTAGGAGGAACGAAAGGAGTTTGAAGCGATGGTTGTAAGAAGGTATGTTTCACACGATTCGATTTGATTTGATGTGATTTGATTTGATGTGATTCGATTTCACTCATGGGTAGATTTGCAAAACGTTGCAAAAATGTGGATATCTGGATTCGGTAGGGTTGGTACAGATGGATAATGTCTAGCTACAAGCCCAGTATTCGCAAGGCGTGCGATGAAATCGTCAAAACCTCAGGCACGGAGATCGCTCATATCTTGGTCGACAAGAACAATGAAGTCGATACCGACATTATGAATTGTTTCTCTGCTTTTTCCATTCTTTCATTTTGTCAGACCTCACGCGTGTTGTTTGCATGGGACTGAATCGTCTCTGTACCATTCGCTATCTCAATCTGGACGCTCGTTCCGTCAATTCTCGCTGCGAAAACTGTGTCAACATCGCTCGTCTCTTCGAATTCCAAACGCGTCGTGCCTCGCGCAAGTACATCGCTCGCGGCATGTTCTTCGACTCGATGCTGGAATCCACCTGCGAGCGCATTCCTTTTTATTATTCGCGTTTTTGTTCGTTGAATGCAATTCACAGCTAGACCCCAGCAAGATCGGTACATTGTGCGAGGAGTTGGTGTCGGATTATGACGATCAAATTATCGGCGTGCTGCAAAAATTCGCAGACGGATCGAAGGAAAACGTGGAGAAGAGTCTTTGCGTGGACATCGCGCATGCATGTTCGAAGAAGGAGTATAAGCGAGTAAGGGAGTGGCGAGGATTGCGAGTGCAGATTCAGAATTACAGCTATCGTCACGCGATAGAGGATTTCCAGGAGCAGCAGGATATAAAGACGATGGAGATGAACGAAGAGCTTTAGGGGTTTGCTGAGAACATTCTGTTTTTGAAAAGATTTTTGTCTATTTTTTGTTTGCAGTTTGTTGGAAACGTGCAACGAATGGGGGAAGAGAGAGAACAGGAAGGGTGATGCAGAAAACACAATTTTTGAATTTCAAATTGATATGGAGAAGAACACGGTGAAAACAGAATTACTTCTCAAAGATGTGGAGGTGAATATTACGTCGGTAGCTAGCTTCCGCAACTTTGTCTATGTATCTGGCCGGGGAGATAAACTCCTTGTGTACACAATTCGAAAAGGTGTCTTCTGGACGGATCCGCTCATGTTTGTAGAGAATGGAGAAACAAAGGTTTCTGAACCCAGAATCCACGAGAACTATTTTGGATGTCGGTCTGCGGCAGAAGAGATGCTTGTCGACACAGTGCATCAACTTCTCTTGTGCAGGACCTCCGAAGGTGTTTATGTAGGTTTCGTTGTGCATCTTATATCCTCAGTGCATCGATGTGAATGATATGAACACAAAGATACTACTCCCCGATACGAAAAACAGTCTTTGTATGGCTCTGAAGCTCGACTGCTCCAAACTCTGCATTGGCGTCACGAAGAAAACGCTCATCTTCTCCTTCAGCCCAGTTTCCAACTCGTTCCGCTTCACCAGCTACATTCCCTCAAAAGGTTTTCTTTTCGCCCACTCGCGCTATTTCGATAGAAACGCCTCGCTGCATGGGCTGGCTGGACTCCTCCCTCTTCGTCGGCTGCCGTATCGCGTACTACATCCAAGATGTGGAGACATGCGCCATCACCAAATCCGTTCTCACCAAATGCGTGAAATCCAAAACCTGCATGCTCTCCATCTCGCTCACCGCGCATCCTCAAGTCCTCCTCCTCGACAGCGACAACACCATCCGCATCCTCGACAAGCAAGGCATGCCTCTTTTCCCGGTAGTTCCCCGCGGTTTTTCTCCCCGCTAGGAAGACTCGCTTCTCCGCATCACCACGCAGCCCACGCAGCTCCTCGCTCTGTTTCCGTACTGCTTCGTGCTGGTGAGCAACTACCTCTACGTGTACAATCTCGTCGATCTGCGGCGCATTCAGCGCATTCCGCTGCAAGGCCGCTTCGCTATCGTCCCCAACGACGACTTCGCCGCCTCGCCTTTCCTCTTCTACTCCTCGCACAACGTCTACCAGCTCGGTTTGCTCGCTCCCGAAGACCAGATCCAATTCCTCACGCAGCAAAACCCGCCTCTCTACGACCAGGCGCTCTCCGTCGCCATCAACCACGATCTCGACAGCGACGTCGTCCACCAGCTCCACTTCGATGCCGCGCTTTTCTTCTTCGCCCAGAGCCGCTTCGACGAGGCCATCCAGCACTTCCAGGACAGCTGCTGCTCCGTCGAGGACGTTCTCTTTCTCTACAAGGACCTCCAGTTCTCCCCGCCCCCCGCCTCCACGCGCGCCATCGCGGTTCCTCTCATGTCCGTCGCTGCGCGACGACACGCCTACGAGGCGCTCGTGCGGTATCTCCGGCACGTCCGCGAGGCCATGCCCGCCTCCAACGAAACGCTCACGCGCGTGGACACGGCGCTGGTGTTCGCGCTGATCGCGCTGCAGGCGGCGGACGAGCTGAAAGCCTTCCTGCTGGGCGCGAACTACTGCGACGTAGCGCTGATCGAGGAGCGGCTGGTGCAGTCCATCAAGACCGCGATGACCGAGAAGTCGCGGCTGGTCTTCACGTTCACGCTGCTCTACCTCTTCGAGGGCAAGCAGCAGTTCAAACGCGTTGGCGTTGGCGCTCCGCTCCACGTCTAGGCCGTCGAGGTCGTGCTCTTCCAGATGCAGCAGTACCGCGAGGCGTCGCCCGAGCGCTCGCAGCTGCTGCGCATCCTCACGCACGTGCTGTTCGGACTCGAGGCCATCGACGAGGACCTCGTCTTCAAGTGCAGCGAGAAGATCTACGAGGAGGACCCCGCGCTCGTGCTTCGCTGCTTCGTCGATGACAAGGGCGTCATCGGCCATCTCAACATTTACCACACCGCGCAGCATCTGCGCGCGCTCACGCGGCGCGAGCCCTCCGCTTACCGGCGAAACGCGCTCCCCATTCAGTATCTACGCGTTGTGACGCCGCACATCCCCGCGGGAACCGGGGCGCTGCGGCTCCCCGAGGATCACAATCTCGCGCAGATTCTGGCGCTGCTGTACATCGAAACTATCAACGAGGCCGAAGAAGTTTGCCGCCAAAACGAAGGTCCGCGGGAACACAAACAGGAGGAGGAGGAACACGAAGAAGTTTCCCGCCCGATTCAAAACGAAGAAGTTTCCCGCCAAAACATCGCCGATCCCGCGGTTATCGCGCAGTACACCGCGGAACTCCGCGCGCTGCTTCGCCGAAACGCCTCCTACGACCCAGCGAAACTCCTCGATGCGCTCCCCGCGGGGAAGATGCTGGAAGAGCGGTGCATCGTGTTGTCGCGGTTACACGAACACGAGCAGGCGCTAACAATCCTGTTATACTCGCTGCGAAACGTGGAAACCGCGTTCCGGTACTGCGCGGAGGTCTGCGAATTGCCGGATTCCCGCGATTATCGCGTGTATCACGCGCTGGTGCACGTGTAGGCGAGGGAAGAAGCGTGGAGCGTAGAATGCTGCATCCCCCCGCGGGAAGCGACGTCGATTACAAGGACGAAGTTTTCGCGGTTCTGGACCGATTCCACGATCATCTGGATGCGGAGTTTGTGCTGGATGAGTTCCCCGAGGACACGCCGTTTCAGCTGCTGTACCCGTTTACGGTGCAGGCAGTGAACGCCTCGACGGAGAGCATGTACAACACGCGCATGAAATTCAATCTGACCATGTCGGACTACGCGGAGGCAGGCGAGAGAGGAAGGGATGAGGCGTAGAACCAGCATATCGTGGCAGTGTCCAGAATGAAGGGAACGCAGATCGACGAGAACACATTGTGTGCGAAGTGCGGGAAACCGCTGGGGACGGCCGCCATGGTGAAGGTGAACGATTCGGAGATCTATCACTATACGTGTTGCGATATCGAAGGGTAGGAGAGAGAGAGAGGAAATGGGCTGATGCACAGAGATTGTATACTACTAAAGAACAAGCAAAACGGAATGGTGGAGAAGGTCCATTTGTCAGAGAATATGATTTAATTGGAGAGTTTGTTGGAAATAAACAAATGCAATGTACTTTTACAAACCAACAGCTTATTTATAAACTAGAAAAGATTAGAGAAATGATCAATACCCTACTTCCCTTCAATTTGTTCTTCTCGCGCTCAACACTTTCCTTCGCTTCCTTAAGCTGCTGTACCTTCTGGAACATCGGGGACTGTTTCAAGATATCAGGGAGAACGACGTATCGCACACGGCTACCACGGATGTAGACGTTCTCCAGCTTCGACAGCTTTCCATCTCGCGCTCGCATCGTCACGTTCGTTAATTGGCAGTTCATGTTATCCTCGGCTCTCACCAAGTGTCCTCGGTACTTCTCGCCATTTGTGAGTTCTACGATCACTGTATTTCCCTCTCCTTCATGCAGCAGTTTGATAGGCACACTCGAAGCCATGTTAATCGAAATCTACGAACGATTCCCAACTTGAAAAAGACAAAAATAGGGCCGATTTTTCGTTTCTCAGCCAAATAGCATTGTTTCAACAAATAGGGTTAAAATACTAATGGGACAATTAGGATGCAAACTGTTCGTTGGATACACTCTCTGCAGACATCCAGTGGACATGAGGTCTAGTTTGTTCTTCGGAGACGATTATCGTGTCCGATTTGGTCGTATCGGCTCCAGACACGGACGTATGAAGTACAACTGTCCGTGTGGCTGGAAACAAGAGATGGGAGGGAATCCAGCTAAGACGAAAGGAGGAAAAGATGAGAAAAGCGACCAAGTAGGCGCATGCGATATCCACTACAGTTTTTTTTACACCTGCAAAACACTACCTGAATAGTGCTTTCTAGCTGCGATGCAGAAAATGGAAAACAGGATGAGCGTTGTTACGGTAAACACTCTCCACAGTTTTATTACTTGCGGTTTGCTTGCTTTCCAGAGCTCCTCCGAAAGCAACATGACGATCACTAGAAAACCTGTGTGTCCGCTAAAAATCAGATCGCCGCAGTTCAGAGCGTGGCCGAACATGGTGCCTTGGTTGATAAAGATGTTTTTGATTGACTTGGGAGCGTAATTGGGGGAACCAGGTCGGCAGTGAGGCGCAGGACCTGGAAGAAGGGTCCACCATCCCATAAATCCCTGAAATCGATTCCAAGTAAAAGAAATAATGTACCTTGCAGAGAATCATGATGCTCGAGATCCTTCCAAAGTCTGCCCACATTTTGTTTCGCACAGCAGGGTGTAGAAACAGACTTCGCAGCACGCAGATCATGATATATCCCACCAGAATACAATCGGAAGTCTCCGCATATTGAAGCGGGATTTCAGGGATGAGAAAAAAGCCGATATCGAACAGGGGAGGACCTTTCTTGTGTAGATAGTGAGTGAGATTGTTCATAGAGGATGTGACGATCCCACAGAAGAATAGAGTGATAAGGTTACAGGACATATAGAACAGAGATGGCTCCATCTTCCTTCGAAATAGGTTGGTTAGGAATAGAAATGCTACAAAGCATGTGATAAAGACAGCGTAGCAAAATAAGAACCAAAGCCCTGAAGATTCGCCTGGTTGACAACAAGAGCGACCAACCCTACGTGGATCCCAGAAAACGATGCTGAAGAAGGATACCCAGAGAAAGATAAGGATGTAGTTCATGGACTACGCCTCAATACCGATTGACAATCATCACGATCACAACGGGTACCCAGGGTGCGGAGCGCTTGATTTCCTGAATATCGAAGTGTCCGCAGTAGGTTAGGGATTCTGGATGAGGTGGGGTTACAGGATAAACTACCCATCACACACGCTCCCAAGGATTACACGACCACCGAATCGATGGAATGACGCGATATGATCCCAAGGCTCTAGAAATGAGCGAACCTCAGAGAGTGCACAAAATGGTCAGAATGCTTGCAGTGGGGAGTCCGAGTCGCAAAATCCATTGCACCGAAGTGAATTGAATTGACTAAGGAAGAGAAAACAAGCGGTCCAAACATAGTTGTAGCAGTAGGATAGAATGGCAATAAACAGTGCGATCCACGAGTATTTAACGACTCCCTTCGTCGATTTGCTTTGTGTTGCACAACTCATCGAATGGAATTGACCAAGGGTGATCACGGATCCATTTGACAAGGCGAAGCATCGTGTTTCCAAATATCCCCTCTTTCTTCTTCTGCCATTTATCAACAAACACCGCAAATTATAACTTCTTTAAACGGAACACAGAATCCACAGCCACCATCGATCCATCGTGCGACTGAATGAGCGGGTTGATATCGATCTCCGACACCTGCGGGCATTGCTCCATAATCCGCGACAGCGACGAGATGTACTGCGCGAACAGCGGCTTGTTCAGCGCGGGCTGGCCTCGGAAGCTACACCCCATCGCCCTCTCCTCGCGCGGCCTACCCGTTCACCAGCTTGGTGTTCTTCAGATGGCGCAGCGAGAACTGCGCGTCCTCCACGCTCACCGGACACATGTTGAACACCACGTCCTTCAGCACCTCCACCAGCACGCCGCCCAATCCAGACACCGTGATCGGCCCGAACGTCGCGTCGCGGTTGGCTCCGATCATCATCTCCAGTCCCTTCGGCACCATCTCGCTCACCATAATGCCGTGGTACTCCACGTCCTGCTTGCTGAACTTCGCGTGCAGCGCCTCCACCGTCTGCTGCACCGTCTCGGGGTCCTTCAAATTCAGCGCCACGCCGCCCACGTCCGTCTTGTGGATGATCTGCACGTTAGCCCGGGCGAGAAGACCCACGTCCGGAGACACCACCTTCGCCACGAACTTCTTCGACCCGCTCTCCAGCTGCTTCGCCACGAAGTCCGCCGCCTCCGTCCCGCGGGTAAACACCTTGTACGCGGGGGTCTTGATTCCGCAGAGCGTGAACACGTCGTAGCCCTCCACCTCGGTCAGCGTCTTGCGTCCCTTCGCCAGCACCCGGTCAAACAGACCCGTAATCGCGGGGATGTCCATCTCCGGGAAGGTCTAGATGGCAGTTCCGCGGGAATCCTACCTGCGTGGTGATCTGCTTGCGCGCCTCGAGGTACTCGGTGTAGCCGGCGAGCTTGTCCAAGGCGCGCAGCGCCTCTTCGGCTCCGGGGTAGACGGCCATTCCCTTCTCCTTCATGATGGTCCGCATCATGCGGTCGTCGTTGTGCTTTCCGCCGAACTCCACCACCAGGAAGGGCTTCTTCGTCTTGCCGGGCCCGAAGTGGTCGACGAGGATCTCGGCGAGCTTGTCGGGGTCGGCGAAGCCGGGCGCGATGGGCTGCACGCCCATGATGACCGCGTCGATGTTGGGGTCGTCGAGCGCGAGCTTGCCCGCCTTGAGCATGTCCTCCGTCTTCGCAGAGCCCGTCAGATCCATGGGGTTGGCGCACTGGTAGTAGGGCGGGAAGGTCGCGCGGAACTTGGACACCGTCGACGGCGAGAAGTCCACCAGGCGGAGGTTGTACGCGTCCACGGCGTCCGCGATGAGCACGCCCATGCCGCCCGCGTCGGTGACGACTACGCCTCAAGGAGGACACAAGCGAGCCACTGGCCACACGGCGGCCCTGCGGGAGCGGCTGGTTGCGGATGATCGTGCCGATGTTCTGCATGTCCTTCCACACGTCGCAGCGAATCACGCCCGCCTACAATGGAGCAGAACGAGCGGCGTCCCACGTTCTTCAGAAGCTGGTCGCACACCGCGTCGTTCGCCGCCAGCGAAGCCGAATGCGACGCCGACGCCTTGGCTCCTGCAGCGCCGCGGTTCGCCTTCATGAGCAGAACCGGCTTCTTCTGCGTGGCTTCTTTGACGGCGTTGATGAACGCGGGGCCGTTGTGGAAGCCTTCCAGGTACGACCAGATCTGCTGGATCGTCGGCTCCGTGGCGTAGTACTTCAAAGCGTCCAGCTCGTCCACGTCGCACGCGTTGCCGAAGGAAATGAACTTCGAGATCCAGCCTTCATTCGTGCGGCCAGCCAGCTCGTTCAGCAGCGTCACGCCCAAGGCTCCGCTCTGCGAGAATACACCAACGGGACCAAATTTGGGCTTGGCAAGGCTGCGATCAGAGACACATAAAAACAACTACCCGATGGCCGGCAAAAACATCGTATCGACGCTCTGCGGATCGTATACTCCCATGCAGTTCGGTCCGATGATACGACAGTGATGTTCCTTAGCCAAACGCACAATCTCCTCCTAAAGCGTTATATAAAAAAAACTTGCTAAAAGCATACCTGAGCAGCAATACCTTCAGGGGTCTTCGATTCCTTGAAACCGCCAGTAATGATCGTGATCCATTTCGCTCCATTCTCCATGAGTTCTTTCACCGTGTTTACAGCAAACTTGGCAGCAACAACGACGACGGCTCCCTCCACCTTGTGGTCAATGTCCTTCACGGACTTGTAAATGTTCTTTCCAAACAGCTCTCCGCCTGCAAAGTGATCCAATCCGCAGAGCAACAATACCTTTCGGATTCACAAACACAACATCACCCTTGTATTTCTGCACAAAATTCTCTGCGATGATGTTACCCAGCGTTCCCTTCTTATTGCTAGCTCCCACAATGGCATAAGTCTTAGCAGTGAAAAACCCGTCAATAGGATAGTCCTTGATGGACGAGGTGAACATCCTCGCGAATGGCATAGGCTTAAATGCGGCTAATCTTCTCACAAACATCACACAAAAGACTCAATAATATCGTAGAAACGTAGAACCTCAGAATCGCAAAAAAGGGAACTATTTTGGAAGAGAAAAAGAAAAGAATTCCCACACCGGGAATCGAACCCGGATCGGCAGGGTGAGAGCCTGCTATCCTAACCTATTAGACTATATGGGACCTGTTTTCCCTTCAAAGGATGAGTTAATAAAGATCACTCTACTAAAGGAAAGGAAGGGAAATATATATATAAAAACAAATGATGGAGTGAAAAAGGAACTGAATGGAGAATTTATAGAAAAAATACTAGAACGTTTACGATTTTACTGCGACTACAGTCATTGTGTGCGATAGCCTAACAAGTCCTTTCCAACAAACAAATGGACAATGAACAAATGAACAAACGGATTTACTATTCTTAAACTCCTCACTTTGACTTGTTCAACTACACATTCACCAAATCCCTCACAACCCACATCACTCTGAATATAGGCGTAACAACGATTCATATTCAATGTCAAAATCGTCTCCTGGTCTCTGTAGTAGTTGTATTGCTGGCGAATCTTCTCCTCGTTCTTTGTCAATGCAGCCAACTTATCTTGAGAGAACTTCAAGGCTTCCTCCAACGTCATCTCCACGATCACAGTAGGCTATTGCTGGCATAAAACGAAAAATCCTACACTGAGTTTCACGTAGCACTTGTCTTGGGGAGGAATGCGAGACTCAACAAACAGCAAGGAAGCGAGGTTGAAGAAATTCTTGGTCTCCTCCGCAGCTTCCTACACTGGAGGCGACATGCAATACAATACTTTCTTCTGGATCAACAGTTCCAGAACGTTGATCTCCTCCTTCATCTTTGTGATATTTAATAAGAACAGATTGATCGTGCTCTCCATATTCTTTCGCATACTCACAAAACGGCTAGAAAATAACACACCACACACAATCTCAATACCTTTGAAGAACTTGGCACAACGTATATAACGTCGGGATATTAATGCGCTCCTTCTTGCAAAAGGTTACAACATTTTCCTAGAACTCGATAAGACAACAGAAAGAACATACAACAAACAAAACTCCGCTAAGGCCAAGTTCTTTGTTTTCTGTGAGCAAAATATCGGTGGAAACTTCACTAAGCAGTCCTTCTTCAGCCATCTCAACAATTTTGTGAGCAGCGTATTTATATTCGAAAATCAAGAATGCGATTCAAATCGTATCCATTGTCATATTTTTGTTCCTCAACGTCATCCATTTGGGCAACGTTCTGTGTTATTCATTCAAAACACACTGCCTATTCAAGTTAAAGCTATGCCCCCAAGAAAAGCAGCTACTACTAAGACAAGTATCAAACTTGCCTTGTACGCATAATCTTTGGTTATCAGTGTAGAAAAGACGATGGGAAAACAGAAAAAGAGCAAAATCCGGTGAAAAGAAAACGCGCTCCTTCAAAAGCCACAGCCAAAGCCAAAGCGGACGGCGATGCTACTGGAAGCGGCAATGCAGGAGAGGCCCCGACAGTCACGAAACGGAAGGTTGCAGGAACGTACCGCCCCAAATGGCTGGGAGAGCCGCGCGATCCCCCAAAGCATGGCTCTAAGCCCATCCCAGTAGGAAAGCCAGACTGTCTGAAGAATATCATTTTTGTTCTGAGCGGACTGAATGAGTCTCTAACTCGCGATGAGATGTCAGAGCTGATTTCTCGATACGGAGGGATCGAACGCTCCGCGGTGAGCGGCAAAACGAACTACCTCGTAGTAGGCTTTGAGATGGAAGACGGACGACCTATTACGGAGGGATCCAAGTACAAAAAAGCGGTCGAAAAGAACGTGAGAATCATCAATGAAGACGAGCTTCTCGCAATGATTCGTGCGAGTAATCCGGAAGCCAGCGCTGCAAGCGAGGCAGAGCAGCTGAAATCGAAGCAGCTCGAAGAGGAAAACGCTGTGCAGAAGGAAGAAACGCTCATGAAAGATCACGATTTCGTTTCTTCGGATTTGTTTACCGTCAAATACGCGCCGTCTTCCATCAAAGAAATCATCGGAAATGAAGGAATCATCGAGAACGTGAAGCAATGGCTGACGCAGTGGGACGATGTGTTCATTCACAGTCTTGTTATGTTCTTGTTATGATCGTAGAACGAATCACAGTCAAACACACAAGTCAAAATCCCGATGCCAAAGCCGTTCTTCTGAGCGGTCCTCCAGGAATCGGGAAAACGACCTCGGCTCATATTATCGCAAAGGAATGTGGCTATGAAATCGTCGAGTTAAACGCGAGCGACACGCGCAACCGAAAATCCGTTCAGCGTTTTTTCAATGATATGATCGTAACGAAAAACGTGCATCAGTTCTTCAGCGATCATTCCTCCGCAAAAACCGATTCGCAATCCAAACCCAAAGTGGGTAATGCCAATGCAAAGATCCTCGTCGTGATGGATGAAGTGGATGGAATGGGAGGCGGCGATCGAGGCGGAATCGGCGAATTGATTCAAGTGATCGAAGCCTCCATGATTCCGATTATCTGCATTTGCAATGATCGTGACAACAAAAAGATCCAGAGTTTGGCTCGGAAATGCTATGATTGTTCCTTTGGAAAACTGCCTCAGGACGCGATGATTACGCGTCTTCAATTCATTTGCAAGAAGGAAGAAATCGCGATGTCCAAAGCGGATTTGGCGGAGTTGGTGGAGTCGTCAGGCGGCGATATGCGCCAAGTTGCTTGTTTTTGTGTTGCAATGAATGTATAGTGTTTAAACAAACTTCAATATTACAAACTGGAAAACGTTTCTTCCATGAGTGACACACTCCCTTCTCTGAAAGCCGATACTGTACCTTTCTCTTTTTCTCTCATCCAATTTCCTCTAGTTAGAAAACCTCACGGCGTTCCAAGTCGCTCGAAAACTCCTCACAGAAGGATCCAAATACTCGTTCCAAGACCGCTATTCCCTTTTCTTTAACGACTACTCGCTCACACCTCTCATTATCGAAGACTGCTATCTGCCGTCGATCACCAGCAAACACTACAAAGACGAAAAGACGATCGAAGCGATGGTGGACGCAGCCGATTCGCTTTGTGACGTTGAAATACTCAACAATGCCATTCTCAAAACAAATGTAAATCCCTTCCTTCATTGGGTGATCGCATAGAATTGGGGTTTGCTCCCATCGCTCAGTACCTCCGTTCTTCGAACGTGTTCCCTCGCTGCGGGATCGTTTGTCATGACAAAATTCCCCGCTTTTTTCGGCAATCTGTCGAAGCAGCGAAAGAACCAGCAGCTTTTCACAACGCTTTCGTCGCATTTCTTGTCGCAGAGCGCGTCGCGGAAGAAGGATTTGATTTTGGATGTGTGCGAAGTGTTGAATCAGCAAATCATTTCTCCCCTGCACAAAGACAATGTGGACGAAGCAGTGAAGCGATTGAACGAGTTTGGATTGGCGGCTGAGGACGTGACCGAAACGTTGGATCGCATTTTGCTATGCAAGGAAGCGACGTACGATTCGGTCTCCGCAAAAACCAAGCGATCGTTCAGCCAAGCGTGGAAGAAACTGCCTCACATGCATTCCAATAGCACGGCGAACTCTGACGATTTGTGGACGCGAAAGAGTCGAAAGCGAGGAGCAGCAAGTGCGACAAAGAAGAGCAAAAAGACGGAGGTGCAAGCGGAAGATGAGCAGGAAGAATCAAGTGATAGTGAACTTCTTTTCTTTTAACGTGTTGGACACAAACAGAAGAAGAAGCTGTTAAGCGATTAAGAGTATAATAAGAAGCAACGCTTCGTAGCACTTCCAGCTGCGGGTGGAGCAGAGGAATGCGAATTAAAAACAAACCCAACGTTTCGCTGTTTCGAATCATCGTATTGGAACACACTTTCATCAAAACGTTCTTCATTGACCTACAAATCACTTTCATTTCGCACCTCGCACCAGTTGTGGGCTTCACAATACAGCACAACCTCTCCAAGACAATTGCAGATCAGATCATACAGCATGAATGTGCGCGGCTCGACGAGAACCATCAACAAGCGTTCCAGCAATTGCAACATTTGGCCTGAAGAAAAGAATCTGCGATTGATTGATTGAGGCAATCAAAGAGTACGTCGAGTCCTTAACGACAGAAAGTGTGAACAACAAGATTTGAAGATAATGCCGAAAGTTAGAGAGAGGAAACAAACAAATGAACTCTACGATCAATCAAGCAGAGAGCGAACAAACCGGGAAGAATGGATCCATCCGAATCCACATACTCTTTTGTTTGCAAATGCGTGGAAAAGAATTGCGGAAAGTCGATTCCCTTTAGAGAAGAATAATCTACCTAACGAGAACGAAAAAACACGTACAAAGCCGTTCCCAAACGATCAAATAGTTCGATGAGAGTGGGAAAAACATTGCGATATCTCCATCATTCGCATGGCTCGCACAGAGCTCCAAAAACAAGGTACAGGCGCGTGCCGAGGATGTACTATCCCTCGAATACACCGCGACGTGGAAAAGCATTGTGTAGAGGGATTGAGGCAAACGCTTATAAGCATCAATGCGCTGAAGAACGTCTGTGAGAAGAAGCGACGCGTAAAAGGCGTCCGGCGACTCTACCCACAAAAGGGAAGTAGCATAATCTACCTGTGGAAGCCGCCTCAAAATAGCTTCTGACGTCACGTAAAAACAGATTTCCTTGAATATCCCTTTCTGTGATTACAGGAACAGAGATAGAATAGGTAGAAAACTCCAGACTGTTGAACACCAACTGCCCCTTTATATACGGAATATCCACGCTATCTTGCTATTCTTTAAAAATCAAAAATGGCGACTACAGAGGGTTCGTCAATCTCATTCTTTAGGGTGAAATCATAGTCGAAGTTCCGGGATTCGTTTTCAACTAATTCTTTAACTTTATCCAACAGAGATTTCCCAGATGACTCCCGTTTTTCTTTAGAAACTGCCGACTTCTTTGTACTGGATGAAAAAAGAGTGTCAGGGAATCTACAAACATTACAGTGTGTAGAGAGAGTAACGCATCATCTGAAAATAGTTCTTCATCATCAGAAGATGGCTGGTTAAACATTTTTTTAGTTTTGTGATTTTGTGTAATGCCAAAGGTTCCCAAGAACTCCATTCGTAAGCTGCTTATGAGAAGACATAAAAACTTGCGAATCAACGATCTCGCTATCACTGCAGTATTTCCAATTCCTCTACTCTGATTTTTTAGGTCTATCTAGATTATGTTCTGTTTGTAAAGCGACTCACCCAGAAAGCTGAGGAAATTGCAGTCAAGAGCAAGGAGCCTGTTATGAACGTGGATCATTTACGGGAAGCTTCGAAAGTGATATATATTACGCCTCCTTTTCACTCTAGATTGTTCTTCGAGAATTCAGAGCTTGACCTCATCGCTTCAATGGTTCTTTGCTTTCGATCGTGATTTCCAGTTCGTTTTATTTCCATTTTCAATTCAATTTACGCTGTACAATACCCCTATCCCATGTTCTTCACCCCTTTGTTTTTTTTACACACATTCACTTCGTTTCCCTTCCACTCGATTTCAAACAAACACCAACTCATGCCATAGCACATCCTAACCTAATTACACGGCGGCAAAGAATGAAAATTCTTGTACTTCTTCCGAATCGACCTCTGAATGGCTCGCGTCAAATGAGCCGGCGTCAACTTGTTTCTCTGAATCCTCGAGAGACCCACATTCCCATTTGCCGGCTCTCTACGATACCACTCCTTCCTCCTCTCCTACGTAGAGCTGGAAACCTCCAAAAACCATCCATGCGACAGCAAATGGAAGTGAAAGCCCGAATACCGAAGCTCCATCACCCACTCCGTCATCGACGAGTCTTCATAATTAAATCGCCGATCGAAGTCGGGGAGCAGATTCGATTTCTTGACGAGCACGATGGGATTCATGTTGTCGTCGTTCCAGCATGTTAACGGAGTGCTGTAGTTCGAAGAGAGCAGCGAAAACCACGCGTTCGGAACGTATTTCTACACGGAATGGCGGCGGTTCGATCAAACGTATTTGGGAGTTTGGTACGTGTCTCTGCAGGATCCCCAGTTGATGCAGTGGAAGAGATATCGCTTGCTGATCGATCCGAAGTAGGAAGCGCTGAAATCATCAAACCCAACAAAAGCGGCGTTACGAGTCTTTGCAGTCGTACCACGTATCGCACGGAACGAAAGAGAAGCCAAGAGGGAATGTGGGAACGATGAGAGCTCGGTGGGGATCGTTGAGGAGGGATACGGGGATGGTGAAGAGAGAGCTGTAGAGACCGACTATATGGAAAGGGAAATCGTGAGGTACTCGAGGGAATGGTGTAGACTGTGGTGATGAGAACGTGAGTCGACGGACAGTTTTGGACTGCGATGCTTCGGAGAGTGTTAACCGGAAAGGAAGAAACGCTCGTTTCGAAGGTTATGAGATTGACACGCGAGGGAAACATTGCGTATTGCATGTACTGGCGTAGATAAGCATCTTCTTCACTAGTGACCGCCACTGGAATCATAATAGCACTGTGTTTAACGGATTTCAAACTCATACCCTTCCCAAATATAAATATGAGTATTCGCATACAGGATATTGGAGAATCTATATGATCAACACCAAAAATAATCAAAAACGATGTTGGCACGATGAGGGTCGGAGAGAATTCGGTACTTTGCAGTAATTCTATTTTCTATCTGTTAGCTACGCAATAAAAAAGCCAACAGAATTCGAATTTACAACAACCTCTTTCCGTTTAGTCAACGGCCAACTTCGACTCGCTAGATATATTTGACTATGCATAATACACGGCATAAAATCCATACAACAGCAAGACAGGCACGAATGCCCACAGTAAAAACACCAAACTAGAGCAACGAGTGTGTGCCTTATTCATGGAAGACTACTTCCAGAGACGGAAAAAAAACAAAGGAAAAATCGAAAAGGAGTAACAAACAAACAACTAACAAATTACACTCACTTTCCCATAGTCTCCAGAGCAGCCTGCTTCTCCCTTATTTCCTCCTCAATAGCCTTCTTCTCTTCCTCAAACTTCTCCTGCACCGCCTCCACGGCCTTCGACAAAACCCTCCGTTTATACGTTTCCTCCGCCTTGCTTTCCGCCGTCTCTTCGCTCACGCCTCGACTCACAATCGAGCTCTTCAGCTTCCCGATCTTCTCCTTCCCCGCCTCCGTCTCCTTCCACAGCTCAAACGACGACGCGGCCGCCACTTCCTTCTCGTTGATCTCCAGCGCCATGCGCTCCTCCAGCGTGTCCAGCTGCTGCTGCAGCTGCCGAATCTCATGGAACAGCGCTCTACGCTCGACCTCGCCCCTCTCTCTCCTACTGCTGCTGCTGCTGCACCATCGTCGACACGCGCGACGGCGACGAGCGGAGCGTCTCCACCGGCGGCTCGCTGGTCGGAGGCGGCGGCGGCAGCCGCGATTTCTTGCGCGCTCCCAGCGTGGCGAAGCCGGCAGAAGCCTCCCGCGGAAGCGTGGAGGCGCGGAACGAAGAGGCGCGCTGGAGCGTGGAGGCGCGCTGGAAGGGGAGCGAAGAAGACGAGAGCGTGGATGTGGGACTGATGAGTCCCTTGGAAATCGCCTGGTTCACGTAGTCGTCGAGCATTTGGGAGTCGCGGCGAATCAGATCGGCGTTGGGGAAGCAGTCCCGCGCCAGCGTGGGAGCGCACGAATTTACAAGTCGGGCGAGCTCGGCGTATTGGGAATCGCCGTTGGCAGCGCGAACGAGGTCGGCGACGATGGAAATGCAGCTCTTTTCGGAACGAGAGAAGAGATAAGGGTCGGCCCGGCGATCGAGAAGGAAGTTGGCAACGCGCAGACCGCCGACGGAACAGGCGAGGAGGAACGGAGAGTCGCCGTCTCGCGTGCAGAGATTGGCGTCCACGTCGTAGATGCAGAGCAACGACACGATCTCGAGATTGTTCAGCTGGATGGCCAGGTGCATCGGGTAGAGTCCGTCCTTGTTCCAGAGACGCAGATACGCGCCGCGATTCACCAAATACTCCACGATCGCCACATCGCCGTTGCGAACCGCGATGTGAAGCGGCGTATCGCGGTCTCGATTCACGACGTCCAGCTCCGCCTGCGCCTCGCAGAGCGCCTGAACAAGCTTCAAGCTGTGCTGCTCGACCGCACGCAGAAGAGGCGTCGAGGACTCTTGATCTCGCTCGTTCACAAGAGAAGGATCGGCCTGGAGAAGAAGATCGGCGAGGTGCTCCGTCTGCAGCCCGCCTCGAATCGCCATGTGCAGCGCGGTTTCTCCGGGCGTTCCCTTGCCGGGCTTGCATTGAATGCTCAGTTTGGGGTTGTGCTGAAGCAGTGCGATGAGCAGCTGCGTGATATCGTCCGGAGAGATCGCCTGCTTGGATTCGCCGCACGCTGCACGGATCAACGAGTGGATGGGAGTGAATCCCAGCTTGTTGACGGCGTTGATATCGGCTCCAGCATCGAGGATCTTGTGAGCGTAGTCGGCAAGACCGAGCTCGATCGCGAGATGCAGCGGAGAGTTCTGCTCTGCTCGATTCGGGACGGAGATAAACGTGGAAACGGTGGAATCCGAGAGAAGGAAGTCGATGCAATCGTTGAGATAATACAGAAGCGCGAGATGGATGGGGAGATTTCCTTCCGAGTCGGCTTTCAACTCATAGCCGCCCTGCTTGAAAATCTGATTCGCCAGTGTGGGCATTCCGCGCTTGATCGCCTGATGAATGGACAGATCCCGCTCGCAGCCTTTCCTCTGCCAGTTCACGCCGCTCACATCCGGGGTGCATCCGCAGTTCAGCAGCTCGCAGGCGAGGTCCTCGTATCCCATCTTGATCGCCAGCGTGAAGACGCTGTCTCCCGTGCTGTCCTCCCAATTCCACTCGTTGAAATTCACATAGCCGATGATGAACCACGCCACACTCGTCAGTCTGGCTTTGATCGCTAGATGCAGAATGGAGTTGCGGAAAGAATCGAAGCGCGTGTTGGTGGCAAAGGGCAGCATGTGGATCAGCAGATCGATCTTTCCTAGCAGCAGCGTCAGATGGAGAGGACTCTGCGAAGAGCGATTGCAAATCGAAACGTTCGAGTGAGGGTACAGACGACTCGCTATGAGCGTCTTCGTCTCGACGGAGGTCTTCGGAGAGAGCAGAGCGATCGTGAGAGCGATGTCGTTGCTGTCCGTCGGGTCGTTCGCCAGCGACTGCGCGTCCGGCCCACGCAGCAGCCGCTCGATCTCCTCCACGTTCCCGAAGAGACAGAGATAATGGAAAATCGTGAAGTTCAAACCGTCGTCGCTCTTCAGAACCGGACTGATGTTGTTCACCTCCATGAAGTTCAGGATTTCGCTCGGGGACAGCGCCTGGTTCCGCACCACGAACTGCCAGCGGAGCATGCAGTTCGGACGCGCCCCTTTCTTCAGGAGGTAGTTCGCCAGCTCCCAGTTTTTCTTTCGGAGCACGTAGCAGAGAAGAGGCGTGGTTTCATCGCGGCCATAGCACGCGTTGACGTTGGCTCCGTGCTCGCACAGACTACCGTGAAGCCAATCCTCATGACGTACTATTTAAACGAAGTCTCGTTGATCGGCTCGCGCGAAGAAACCATTCGAAGAGCCATGAGCGAGGTGATTCGCTTGACCCAATCGCTAGATCATCGACGAGGCACAGAAACACCTACTTGCAAGACGTGTTGTCATCAAAAGCTAAAATCGTATCTCGATCTGCTTCTCGGATGATCAGAGGGAAGACTCCCTTTTCGTCCTGCATCTCCTCCACGGAAATGATACTCTCGAGATAGATTTCGAGTATAACCTTCTCCTTGTTTTCACGCTCAAACACTGTCAACACAGTCTACATCAAACGAATTCCACAACAAGAAACATTATTCAGTTCTGCGAAACGGTAGGTATAGGTAAAACCGAAAAAGCTTTTCTTCTACACATATCAAATAACCTTCCTTGTGTCACTTACTCCAAACTTCACAAACCCCTCTTTAAAAGAGATAAAGTCGCTGTCATTGTACTGAACGGAGGATAAGTCCGGCTCAAGTAAGGTGGGAACTATGTGAAAACCGCTCAGCACACTCACCTCTTGTCTGCTCCGAGGGAAAATATTCATTCGGTTTAATAACAATATCAGGAAAAGGCACTCTACACTTGAATACACAATCCCGAAAAAACTTTGCCAAAAGTATCTTAACCATGACGTCTGAATTAACGCGTGTGTTGTTGTTTTGGAAAAAGAGAGATACTGTGTTATCACTCGGAACAACACCGTTGTGGAGCTTCTACGAGTGACATCCAATTCCCTAGGCAACAGTTAAGAAATTCCGAACTCCTTCCTTATCTAAATCTTCGAGATTGCATTCATTCAGAAAAAGCTCAACCTGCTTCTTATAAAAACCTCTCAAGTGCCTTTCAGAGGAAAATGGAAGAAGGTCCATAGGCTACAATGATAGGAGAATAAATGTGAGAAGAGAAAATCAGCTTTTTCGATTTGGGAGTTTCACTGGTTCATAAAACAATCGTACAAAATCGAAAGGAGAGGCACAGAAGCGGTGCTTTCCAATACCTATTTCCCGAAACAAAAAAAATACAAAATGCGTGCTTTCTGTGAAATTTGAAAAATGGAGACAAGGGCTTTAGGGCACACAAACCCTAAATAGTTCACATTCCAAACAAGCGCGATTCCTACGAAAACTAATAAATTCAAAAGTGTCCCAATCACGGAATTTACACTGCAAAAAATACAGAGTTTAGGGTCATTCGATCACTGAATACCCGATTCTGATCGACCCTTAGAATTCACAATACTTTGGCTACAATGTCTTTCGTTTCTGCTGCTGAACGTGACGAGGTCGCTTGCACCCTTGCTACCCTGATTCTTGCCGATTCTGGCGTGAAGGTCGATGCTGCCGGAATTGAGAAGGTAGGAGCGTTTTGGAGCGGAAATTATATCACAGCTCTTGAAGGCTACCAACATCACTGTTGAGCCTTACTGGCCCATGCTTTTCGCCAAGTTCCTTGGTGAAAAGGACATTACTGAGCTTCTGATGAAGCCCAGTTGCGGAGCTGCTCCTGCTGCTGGTAGGGAGTGTGGTAGGACATTGAACTTGTAGCTGCCGGAGCTGCTGCTGCCACTGAAGCCGCTGAGGAGAAGGAGGAGGAGAAGAAGGAGGAAGAGGAAGAGGAGGAAGAGGATATTGATATGAGCGGTGGTGGTCTCTTCGGAGATGATGATGACGACTGGTAAACAAGTACGTGAGTCATTGGAGCCTTTACCCGTTGTTTGTTGAACAAACAGCCCAAAGCAAACTACTCCCACTCGATCGTGGCTGGGGGCTTGGACGACACGTCGTACACCACGCGGTTGATTCCCTTCACCTCGTTAATAATCCGGTTCGAGATTCTCGCCAGCAGGTCATACGGGAATCGGTACCAATCCGCCGTCATGTAATCCGTGGTCTGCACGCAGCGAATCGCCGCGGTCTGCTCATAGGTGCGTCCGTCGCCCATCACTCCAACCGACCGCACGGGCAGCAGCACCACGAGCGCCTGTCCGATCTTCTCGTACTCGCCGGCTGCGCGGATTTCGTCGATCAGAATCTTGTCCGCCTGGCGCAGAATGTCCAGCTGCTGCTTGTCCACCGCGCCGATCACGCGGATCGCGAGGCCGGGGCCGGGGAAGGGGTGTCTCCAGATGCAGTCATGCGGGAGTCCGAGCTCGGCGCCCAGCGCGCGGACCTCGTCCTTGAAGAGCTCGCGAAGCGGCTCGATGAGCTTCAGCTTCATGTTCTCCTTGAGCCCGCCCACGTTGTGGTGCGATTTGATGGTCGCGGAGGGACCGCGGAAGGAGGTGGACTCGATCACGTCGGGGTAGAGCGTGCCCTGCAGCAGGAAATCCACATGGCCCACTTCCTGCTCGATCTTCTTGGCCTCCTCTTCGAACACGTCGATGAACGTCGTCCCGATGATCTTGCGCTTCTTCTCCGGGTCGCTCACGCCCGCCAGCTTCGCCAGGAACAGCTCCGACGCGTCCGCCAGGTGCAGGTCGATGCCCGCCGCGCCCAGACGCTCCATCACCTCCTTCGCCTCGTTCAGACGCAGCACGCCGTTGTCCACCAGCACCGCGTGGAACCGCTTCCCGATCGCGCGGTTCAGCAGCACCGCCGCCACGCTGCTGTCCACGCCGCCGCTCACGGCACCGATCACGTGGCCCTCCTCGCCCACCTCGCTTCGAATGCGCGCAATCGCCTCGTTCACGAAGGAACCCATCTCCCAGTCCGCCTTCGCCTCGCAGATGTTCAGAACGAAGTTCTTCAGCAGGATTCGGCCCTGCGGAGTGTGCGTCACTTCCGGGTGGAACTGGATGCCGTACATCACCTTGTCGTGGCTCGCGATGGCTGCGTGCTCGGCGTTGGAGGTCGCGCCGATGTCGAAAAAGCCGGTAGGAAGAGCGGAGAGTTTGTCGCCGTGGCTCATCCAGACTTGGAAGGGGTCGTCCAGACCCTCCAGCAGACGCATCGCTTTTTGAGAGTCCTTTTCTAGGCGGTGAGAAGCAGAGGAAGAGATGGAGTACCTTCCAGGCCCTTGACAATACCAACCATGGCATGTCCATATTCACGGTGGTCACACGGAGCCACTACTCCTCCGTAGTGATGGGCAATCTCTTGGAGACCGTAGCAGATACCGAGAAGAGGCACTTGCTTCTCTTCGATGAACTTCCACAATTCTTCAGAAACGTGGGGAGCATCCTTCTCATAAACGCTCGAAGGACCGCCTGAAAATATGATTCCCTAGCTCGCAGGTAAAACACGATCGTACCTTCAGATTCTTTTTCTCCATCACGGTCTTTGCATCCACCAGGCAGGAGAACAGTTCGCAGTAGACGTTAAATTCTAAAACGTCAGAGGATGCGAACACCACTCACCTCGCACGCGACGAGCAATCAAGTGGCTGTACTGTGAACCGAAGTCAAGAATAACAATTTCGTCGTGATTCATCACTCTGGGAAAAGGAATTGTGGTGCTTTGGAATGGCAACAACAGATTTGTGTAGAGTTGGATGGGAAAAGGAATGATGGTAATTGGTGTGGAGTTGAAATTGAAGAAGAGGGACTTGTGTGTGGTAATTACGAACATTTGTGTGAAAATAATAGCATGTGGAAAAAGAGTACTGATGGAGAACAAAGTAGTGGATGAGGTAAATCGAGAGGAAGGCTCTTTTGAAGAGTAGTAAACATTCCAAGATCGAAAAAGTGAGAATCTCTTTTTCTATGATGGAAACACGTATGAGGAATTGGAAATAGTGTACGGACAACAAAGAAGAGGTTCAACAATACTTGACTAAAACCAATAAATATTCGAGAAGGAAGTATCCACAGGAAATCGAAGAAATCAACACGCTGTGCAGATCAGGATACCGCGCAGGAGGAGGGAAGGCATAATACAAGATGCTACAGCCGACCACCCCCATTAAGCAAAGCGTGAAGAACCAATTCGCCGTTTTATTTGGAGTGACGCCGATAGGCTTCTGAGGAGGCAGAATAAAGAGAATCACGCCTGTGTACACCAATCCGAGAAGGAAATTCGAATCTTTCAGGTACAACGGAATCATCGAGTAAGAAGCCATGAAACTAAACCAAATCGCTTCATCTGGGTCTGATTTTCCGAGAAGGAGCATGGGAAGCAACGGGAAGAGAATGGTCTTTTCATGAACTAAAGAGAAAAGGGGAAGAATGGAAGCTTACCATGATATGAGAAAAGGAAAAAAGACATGGAGCAGGAAAACAACGACGCATACACTCGATTAGGAGAAGGCTTTCTCCAAAGCAAGAAGAGCGAAGGCAGACAGGCGCAAATGGTAGCGATGAGACACATCAGCTTCATTTGCTCGAAAGTGAAAAGTCGGTTCAGTTTGATGACGTTGTTTAACGTGCACCACACGGAAGCGACTTTGTCCTCGAACACCCATCGATCCCACGGAAACATTCGCTGAATCACCGCGCGAAGAGACGAAAGAGGCGAGAGATCCTCGGGGAGATGGACGCAGAAAGGAAGAAAGAGGAGAGCAAAGGAAGCAATGACTGTAAGTCCGATAAGGAAAAGATGAGAAACGCTTTTCCGGTCATAGCATTTGCGCAACAACCACACGAAAAACACCAACGAATAATAGAGTGCTATTTGCTTGTATCCTATGGCCATCACAAAAAGGAAAGAGCCGATGCAGTCGTAATCTCTTTCGATACAGAAGAGCGAAAGGAGAACGAGACCCAGACAAACCGAGTTGTACTGAAAATGGCCATGATCGATTAACAGCAATGCAGGAGAAAATACCATCAGGAAGAATGGAATAAAAGCGGAATGTGATTTCTGTAAGTCCGAAGCAAAATAGGTCACAAGCAAGCAAGACGGAAGATAAACCAGTATATCCATAGCCAGCACGGACAATCGAGAAAATAGCTAAAAGAAAAACACATAAAATGTGCACTACGATACAAGAACTAGTTTCACAACCCCGACTCGCCTCAAAGGTCACCACTTCAGGACATAAATATTCTGCTATCTTTCCCAAAACATATTCGTGAAAAGCAGTCAATGGAGGGTAATCCAGACCCCAATACATTAGATCATTGTGAGTTCCATTTCTATACCTAAATTTAGGAAGAATGGAGATATATACCAATCGTAGATAGGTAAGTGAATGGTAATCTCCATCCAATGACGCTGAGCTTCCAAATCTCCAAAAAGAGGTCCCTTGCCCATTCCTAAAGTAAAAACGATTAAAAAGGTTCACCTGAGTAAGGGTTTAGGGAAATAAGGTATCGCACTGAAATACACAGTAACAATAATGCAGTAATGTAGCTGAAGCGAAGAGGAGAGGACATACAAAAACGACCCGACGAAATAAAATGAAATGAGCAAGATAGTACAATTACGTATTAACATATACGGGGAATGATTATTTTTTTATTGTGCGAAGATATAATAGTTGGGGTGTCAAATTGGACAGTTTGTACAAGATGAAGTGTCGTCAGACATAATGGGAGAAGAAATATATATTTATATATATCAATATGTCGCTCCGGTTAAAGGTGATAGATTTCAAATTGAATGAATAGTGATGGACGAAAAAACATAAATAATAATAATAGTGTTTACACAAAAGAGATACTATTACAGAGAAAATCGATAAATGGATTACTGCCCAAATAGGAAACCAGCAAAATAGTCGAAAAGGTGATATGAAGTAATGGTTATTTGTATACAGAGCAAAATGAGAATTCGTTATATAGGAAAGCACGAAAGAAAATGAGATAATAAGGTTTAAAAGCGAGAGGAATGCGGAGAATAAGTTTAGATTGAATTGTGAAATTGTGACTGACTTAATCACACAACAGTCGAGAACCACCAAAAAAAAACGGAACAAAGGAAACATGAACCCCTACTAATACATTATTCGGCATATTAATCATATTATTTATCATCCTAATTTTAAAATGGTATACTACATTTATAGAACAAAAATAAGAATGTGAATTGTGCAATGAATCGAAAATGCAATCATAAGCAGTTCCAACTCAAATCGAATGTACTTCTTCACAAAATCGGATTATCTTTTACTGAAAATGTTTATCATGCTTGAAAAGGTCAGTAAGTTTACTAGAGACGTCTATCCTATCATCAACACATAACGAAATACTTGTTATACTAATTCTTTTCAGATTATTGAATAACGATGAATTTTGATCTTTAATAATGTTAACATTTTGAACATTCATGATATCTAAAAATAATATTAGCAAAAAGAAAACATTACTCTCTAAAACTAATTCTTTGACATCACAAAAGTTATCGTCTCCATAAAGCGTTATAGAATGCAAACTAGGTAAATCTGTACATTTAATGGCTTCAGAAAGGTATTACTTCGCATTTCAAGTTTAGACGTTTCACTCTGATAACTGCCACTGATTGCACCCCATCCAAGTTTTAATACTTTTAATTGAGGAAGATCTACGAGTCAGTGTTATTCGTCCGTAGTAATACTGTTAATTTTCGTTGATAACGACAGCGAAAAAGCCCATCTACCTAATTCGATCTCCTCTAGTTGTGGAAGGTCTATACAATTATTAGAATAAGTCGATATGTGATACTCTCGATAACAAAGGAATTCCAGAGAAAGCAGCAAGTATCGGTATCACACACACCTATCTTTAAAGAGGTCAGTGAAGGCAATTCCTTCAACTCAAAAGACCCAGCAAAATCCGCAAAACAATATCTTTCAATTACAATACTTTTCAGTGATGGGCAACTTGTTATGGAAAAAGACTTATCTGCTCTATATGCAGCTGGTACTGCTTTATCAAGTTCAAAAATAACATACTGATTTGTCACTTGCGTAAACGAATTTTCTGCGATTTTGATAGTTTCCAATCGATCCAATCCATTTATTTTGAATGTCTTCACTGATTTAAAACAATTATCGCCGATTTCGATCGATTCCAAATTATAGAACAACGAAATATCCCAATCAGCCAATATACAACTAAATAGCTCCATTCTTTTTACTATGAAACTGAAATTGCTTCCATTTCCTTCATATTGATCACTGTCCATCTCATTATACCAGAAATCCTGAATAGCCTCAATACCTGCTTGATCATACACTTTTCCAATTCCAAATCGATTATCATCACACCAATATCCTTCATATTCAATACATCCATTATTATTATAACTCGTTCCATAGCCAAATCGTTTCCAATTGATCATTATGCCCTTGTACACCAATATTCCATTATCATCATACATTTCACCATATCCAAATGGAATTCCAAACTCGTTTTCTGTCAATACCAAGCCTTCAAATCGACTTCCATGATCCAAGTAAACTTTTCCCTTTTCTACTACTATGGATTGTTCTTCATTATATGAAATATCACCAATTTGATGATTTCCGAACACTTTCAACACTTTCTGCTCATTGACCACAAATCCTTGATTCATGAATACTCTATTATCGAAATGCAATACTATACATTCTAGATTGCTCAATATGAGTGAAATCCAGCCATCCACTTTCATGTCTTTATTCAAGTGTCCTTGCATATACTGGATCATGGAACTGTCAACATGATAATAACTAATAACAGAATTGATAAAATCGGCAATAGTCTTCATAAAACAAAAAAAGAATGAGATATATAGGATTGTTCCGTTAACTTCTATCTTATCTACATCCACATGTCTATATTATCTAATAGACTTCTTAGCTATTGTGCTATTACGTCGGGGTAGTGGCAACACCACTTCTTCACTATCAATATGAACTCCTTGCTAGTTCTGAAAGTTTTCCTTTTTTTCCAGTTTACTTTTATTACTGAAATTCGTTTAAAAGTTGGGAACTACAACACATGCGATACACTATCATAACGATAAGTATTTCACATAGCACTCTGTATCGATACGAAAAAACAAAACAAGGCCGTGATTACAACATTACACGCAAGTCATCCTTCTAAATGTATATTGTTATTAATAGATTAGTATCGTATTATAAGAGCTATTCCCAGTGTACTTACTTGTATAATATCTAATGTAACAGCAATAATCTCTTTTTGAAAAAAATGGAAAAGATTACTATTTTATTTGAAAGAAATAACGAACCCAATGTTCCATGTTGTGAATAGAGAAGAATAGCCATTTTTTAGCAAATCAGTATAAGTAGTAGGAAAATGGCGCATAAAGCGCGAAAATTTTTTCGGCCCTTTTTCTGCCATTTTTTTTCCTGACCTCCTTTTTTCTACCTGGCCTCCTTTATTTCTACCTGGTCACCTCGAGTACCATGGCGCATAAAGCGCGAAAAATTTTTCGGACCTTTTTCTGCCATTTTATTCCTGGCTGCCTTTTGACCATTGTCTGCTTGCCCACCTCGAGTACCACGGCGCATAAAGCGCGAAAATCTTTTCGGCCCTTTTTCTGCCTGACCACCATTGCTACCCATTGCCCACCTCGAGTACCATGGCGCATAAAGCGCGAAAACCTTTTCGGCTATTGGGGGAGCTTTGCTCCCCCGGGGAAGCTTCGCTTCCCCCATTGTCTGCCAATTTGGTTATTGTCTGCCCTTTATACACTGTTTGATAAAGAAAACAAAGTAAAAAAACTTCTCCTTTACATGTCCTTCAATCGGTAATGTCCAAACGCCAGTGTGTGTACGTTGTCGTCCAAGATCCAACGTTTGTTATCCGTGCAAGTCATAAGGGTCTTGGTCTGCTCCTTCGTGCTGATATCGAAGGCCTGGTTGTTGATGCGTTTGAAGCTGCCTTCGATCACTGCATCTTCCTTCTTCTCTGCCTCTAAAACACGCTTGTACAAATCGATGTTCTTCACGCTCATCCTCTCACCATCGATCACCACGTTGCGAGGAACTCCCTTTGCTGCGTTGTGTATCACATGCTTCTCATCAACCAAGCAGTACATCTTCGGTCTAAGTCCCACGAACTCCGTGATGCGATGTCCGTTGTGCTCGTCCTTGAAGATGGGACCAGGCAACTTCTTGTTGAAGTTGAGGAACGATTCCAATGAAGGGAACTTGCTCTTGTCCACCTCATGCTCGTAATACTTCACGAGTTCTCCATAGAAGTAGCTTGTGTTATCCAATTCCGAGAAGTCGAATGATTTGTACATGTCACACATCTTGTGAACGATGTTAGCGCGATCGTGCAGTTGCACGATGAGTGAGTCCGTGTCCTGTCCCAACAACTCCACGGTGTCGAATGTGTTCTTGAGCACATTGTAGTAGAAATCGTAGATGATGTGTTTGGACATATCGAGAATGGCGAACCCGATGAAGAATGGCTTCTCCACCCTGCGCACCGGTGTGTTCAACTTGATGCCGATCAGATTCTCGGAATACATGGTAGTCCCGGCGATCATGTCGTACCCATGCTTCTGAATGATGGCTTCACGTTCATTCCACGTGTTAGCGAACTTCACCTTCATTCGCTTCAGTCCAGTCTCAACGAATTTGCCATAGGTTGAGTTTGCTAACAGCTTATACAGGTTCTTCTCCACAGTAATCTTGGACTTGGCTCGTTTCTCACTCAGCATGTTCACGTACTCGAAGATAAATGGTGCCTGCTTGAATCGAATGATGTGGTGAATGTGCGTGACACGATAACCCTGTTGAATGCCCAGTTGCAACAGTGAGTAATGCACGAGATACTTTTGACGAGGTACAAGATCACAGATGAGCTTCGGTGTATTCACCTCTTTCACTTTGTCCACAATGTCGTTCTTCTCTGCGTACTTCTTGATTCCATCGGAGTACATGCCCGCCTTCTGTACGGGAAAGAATGGCAAGTCATTGAACTTATCATGGAGTTCTACTGGTGCCTCGATGTCACACTCGATGAAGAACCCATATTTACCGAACGTCTTGAGTGATTGCACCCATCCATTCGGGTCACGATTGATCTTCTCCATCACTTCTCGTCGCTCAGGTACACCCACCAACTCATAAGGCATCATTCGATGCATGGCTCCACCGTACAGGTTGTTGGCGTCCAGGTAGTAGATGCCTTGGGACGACGTTGCTTGCTCCTTGTTGTCAATGTCGACCTTGGCATGTCGTTTCACGATCTGAGTGATTCCTCCTCGCAGGTTCTTCAACAATCGCATGAAGTCATCGATATCATTTGTCTCCATCAATCGAATGCCCTTGCTCTCATAGAACTCACCCATGCGATTCAAGAACACTTTTACCAGTTGTTTCTCGGCGAGTCCCTCGTTGGCGTTGATGCGCATGATGTACTGAGCCCATTTCCTTGCGAGGGTCATGAGGCTATTCTCGTTATGATCGCCCTCCATTGTGACCTTTAAGAAGAGCGAATAGGCCATTTGTGGTGCTGTGATATAGTGCATCGGATCAACACCGAATGCATTCAGTGTCGTGTTTCGGAAGTGTTCGAATGCATCAGCCATGAGAGTCACATCGAGTACATTGTACAATTCGTAGTACTCACCCCATGTCTTGATATCGAAGGTCTTCCACAGCTTCACCATGTGATCATATTCGTCTTGTGGCATCATCTCTCCCTTCATATCATCAATGCATTGCTCGCGAGAAGGAATGACGGTATTGTTCAATGACTCGTACGACTTGATGAGACTGTAGAACATGGGTTCTTTCCGTGTCAACAGATCGATGTATTCATCATCCCATTGCTTGCCTCGAGACTCACAGTACTTGCGTAGTTGTTGTTTGGTGTGCACGTACAAATCGAGGTTGCCTCCAAGTGTCTGTGCGACGATGGATCTGAGAGGACTGCTGATGAGCTTCAACGAGTCCTTGAATTGAATGCCATTGTACTCGATCTGCATCTCCTTGTCTTCAGTGGTTGGAATGACTTCGAGATTCCCACCAGGCATCGTCGCGATGAGTTTCATGATGAACGTGAAGTCGTAGTGCGATCCATTGTGGAAGTAAACTGGCAGACGATAGTTCTTCTTGTTGAATGAGAGTTGTAGGTTACACTTGGTGCAACAGGTGCAGATGTACTGTCCGGCTTCGAAGTGACGTATCTCTCCCTTTCCTGTGGTGTATTCACCTGCCACATGTGCGTGATGACGTACCTTGTCGTCCTCCAGTTTCTTGCGACAGAAGGGACACACGGTTGTTGCACGAAAGTCCTTCTCGATGCTCGGAGAGTTCTCGAGGGGTAATTCATCGAATAGATATGTTTTCACACTCCCTTGCAATTGCACGAGATAGTCCATGAAAGGACGAAGCTCTTCTTCGCTCTCGTGTGGTGCATGGAAGACTCTCAGTTGAGTCTGGATGGCAGGGATACGAGACACGGCTAGACAGGATAACATGATGGGCTTGTGTCTGTTCTTGTCATCAATGGCTGACTCGAAGTCAGCGTACACGACGACCGGTGCTGGCATTTCGTATCGCTGGTTGGTGAATCGCAACCGAGTCTCCTCGTTCGCCAACTCGTACTCTTCGCTTTCATTGACGAGTTCACGATGTACTTGTACTTCGTGAGCATGAACGGCTTTACGAGATCCGAAAAAGTCGTCACAGAACCTGCACTTCACGTTTCTCGTTGTATGTCTATTCTTTGCATCACTCTGACGAAAGATGCGATGTTTGAAATCGCTCAAGTCCTTGATGTACATAAAATGCTTGGGAATTTCTTCCCTCTCCCGTGTATCATTCACAATGCAAAGCGACACACATGGGGCAACTTCGTTGCCCCGGGAGCAACTTCGTTGCTCCCCACATCCACCCTTCCTTTTCGGCTTGTACACTTGATAACATGTGAATAGATCGTATTTATCCTCGGAGTTGTCATCGTATCCAGGCAAGAGTGTGACCTCGAATACATTGAGAGAGACTTTCAACAGTTCTTCCAATCTCGCAAAATTCTCTTCACTCGCGTTGAAGGGTGCATTGTCGCGAATGTTCATCGCCTCCTCCACCTCGTGAATGGCCACTCCGAACACCTTGTTCTTGTCGGGTTGCTTCCACCACTTGTTGTACACACTCGCATCGC